TTTGTAAATCGCAGTGAGATAAGTGGAGGAGAAACAAGCTGTTGCGGAGGTTAATTTTCGGCAAGAGCGCCCAGGAAAAGCAGGAAACCGAGATGCATTTTATATGTTTTTGAGGCCGTTTCGCGCGCGGTTGTTGTTTTTGTAGCTTATAGAGTCAAATTGGGCGGAAAGATTACTGCGTTGGAAAATTAAAACCATGGGAAAATTGGTTTGTGAAGGGCTTGCGAGTGTTGTCTGATATATTGTCTCTTGACTTTGTAAATAGTGAGCCAGACAGTTTGGCTTCAAAGGGAGCTGCACTGACTGAGCAGTGATGCTGCGCTTTCTTTCATCAGAATCAAGTTTGTTATGGCGTGGATTCATCAATTCTCGGAAGCAGAATTGACGTATGTATTAATAATTTTTGCAAAGCAGAAGAAAAAATTCCCTTTTTGATCTGCAAAAATTTAAAAGCTATTAATTTTTTATTGTGGTTTATATGTCACATGATGCACAATTTTTGACAAACAGAAGTAATAACAATAAAAAAATTAATATAAAAAAGTATATATATTTAATTTTTAGATCTTTCATGCGCTTATTTGCTTTAATAGATGTTTGCCAAGAGCTCTTGGGTTCTAATAACCGTTCCTAGAAAAATAAAAGCTATATCTAAATTTTATTTGCTCTGCCAAAAGGATTCATCTCGCTCTCTGGTGAGGAAATAAAAGTTTGTTATCCATTGGTGTGTCTGCGCGAAGATAAGAGAGGCGCGAATCTAAGGCCGACTGCGGCACTTGCTCGCTCGCCTGCTTTTCTTTTCTTTCTCAATGGGGCAGGAAACGGCGCAGGACCTTTAAATAGGCCAAATAATGAGCAGGCGCTTTTTACAGCCCCGGATATGGCCGGGTTTGTTGTTGAGCGGCTCATAATTCCTTGGCTAAATGCATGCGCGTGTGTGTGTGCAGGATGAATACATTGTCACTATATATGGACGACCATGCAGGACAAATATGTTTTAAAAGCACAACATAGACGCAGATCGTTATCAGCCGAGAAGCAAACCGCACAAAACATATTATCAAAGGAGGAAAACGCTGTTTCAACACCTGCGCTAATTAAAATGAATACAATGAGAAAATTTATTATATGGCCCATTTCTTTAATGGAGTTGTTTATAGATTGTGATCAGTTGTGTGACAATTTGATTTATATTTATACAACTTTTGTATAAAGAGAGGAACTTCCATAAGCCAAAGGTTAAAAACTTAAAAAATTTCTCTCACGGAGTTTTTTTTTATCATCAATGAACGAGTATTCTTATTTTTATGGTAGCAAGTTGCTATTATTTTTTGTTTCAAATTCTTTTATGGTAAAATTTAATTAATTCCTGATTTAATTTGATTTTTTTCAAAATATTTTGTGACAGTATTATTGATTTCCAAATAATTCAAAGCACTTTTTAGTTGAAAAGTCTTTTTTTTTATTAAAATTTTAATTTTTTAATCCACCATGGTTCTTAAAACATAATACTTTTGTTGAAAAACTTATACTTACAAATTATTGTGTCACAGACACAGGAGTAAAAAGTTAAATTCTGAACCGGATTTTGGGAGAAAAAATTAAAAGAAAGGCAGTTAAGAGACAAAAGTGTCTTTTAACACCAACTAGAGGTTTTTGTCTCTACGAATCGAGGCAAATCTGGAAGACAAAAACGCACAAACTTTTTACCTTTGTTTACGTTTCGAGCCAGCAGCGACGTATTATTTTGGCCCAAAATTAACATCGATTGGTATTCAAGGCTCCTGAACTATTCCTTTGTGCCGATGAAAAAAAGGTTCCGCTCCCGTTTTGTATAAGCGTTTTTCATCGGGCTACTGCACTTCACCTCGCGGTCCACGCTATATGCAGCGCGTATATAAATTTGTATGCCTAAAATGGAAAAAAGCCCCATCATCATTGCATTAATATACAACCCATCAAATTACACGGTGGGTCCATGAAATTAATTCGGTAGCCGCGTTCATTTGCATCCTTTCTCGAGGCTCGCCAGATTTTTTTCTCCGGACAGCAAACAAATTATCACCAGGAGGTAGGAGAGTGAGTTAATTTATTTCCAAACGGATAAATGTTTTTGCCCCTCGCGCGCTAATGCGTATAAAATTCAAGTTGAGTAGAGAAGGCAAAAACCATAACTAAAGGCGGGCCAAACATTTTGAACTCCTCTTTTAATGCATGCACGACTGCGTTCTTTATTATTTTATGTGCCACAAGCATAAAGTGCTACCTGTTCTATCTGCAGACGCACAATCGGAGGAGAAAAAATATAAAATAAAAATTTCCTTTCTCAAGAGAGCTGCCTCTGATTTACACATCCATATTTTTTTTTATAATACGTCGCTGCAGCGCCTTAAAATAGAGAAGTCGGCCTTTGTCCCATTCACCCGCCTGGAAATATAATAATAAAATAAAAACTCATTTTCTTCTCACTTCTGGGAGCAGTTTTTGATGATCGCTGCTACTGCCATGCTCTGCTGCTGTCTTCTTCTTTTCTAATAATAAAAAGTTGTAACCCCAAGGTTGGATCTGCTCTTCTCCTCTCTCTCTCACATATAAGAAGAAGAAGTAGTTTTGTACTTTTTATTTCTTTTTTATGTGGGCTTTGATTGACAGGTCGGTTTTAAAAGTCCTGCGAGGCGAACCAAGAATTAAATTATCTCCTCTCCTCGCGCAGCATCCCCCCTAAAAAAGGCAACTGCAAGTCCGCGGCCGCCGGCGAAAGGGGGCAGCAGACGTTGGGTTCGATCGCGGCACGGCAGCGAAATTAACTTGCCATCCAAATGTGGAGCGCGTTCAGTCAAAACTTTCTCGGCGCCGGTTTTAATTTATTGCTGCACTTGTGCGCTAACGATTACTGCAGTAATATGCTAATTTTTGTAAAGGCATCGCGCGGAATATTAATTCCTGCGGGCCTTCTCCTGATGCACGAGATGAAAATGGAGTTTTTCTTATTTAAAAAAATCCGGAATTATACATCACAAGCAATCAAAGCTAACAAATGGTGAAGACGTCCAAGTGTCGTATTAATAAAAACATGAATTTGATGTACCAAACTATATTAATTTACTCATTCCTGTACACTGATTAAAAAATTTTATTGTATTTTTGGAGATCTGATAATCCCCACACAAACGACGCTATAGTCAAATCGTCTTAAAATATACAAAAAATTTTATTGAAGTATTCTGCAACAGTAAATATTCCCTGTAAACTGAAATTAATACGAGAATTTTAATAAATTAGCAGAGTTTATACATATGTTAAGTTTTCATTAACTTTCCACTACGGAGAATATCTGGAAAATTAATTTCATTTCAATTCCTTCTAATTTGATAACTCCACATCAATACAAGGAATCTTAGTTTACAAAAAAATGATCTATGATTCAAGAACAAACAAAACAAAACAAACAAAACATAAATTTTATTTTAATTAGTAAATATTTTCATTTCAATTTTTTTTTTAAATAATTTTTTTTAAAGAAATCAATACATAAATTTTTAATAACCTTATGCATAATTATAGCATTCCAAAAACTCATCCTCATTTAACTATAGCTCTACATCATTAATAAATCTAATTTATATGTCATCGTCGCAAAGATTAATAACAACAAAAGCGAGGACTGTTTATTTTTCCCCTCGGGGAGACGAGCCTCTGGCGCGACCCAACCAAACGTATTGTTCTCTGACGTACGAAACAAAAGCATCGCAGCATGTGATTAATATTATTGTGACGCGCATCTTCTTCATTCTCTCTATCAGAATTTAAATTCCGATCGTGTGGTGCGACCCTCGAGGCAACTTTTAATTAATTGGAAGAGTGCATCTCGTCCTAGAGCGGAAAAGTGATGCATTGTATTAATTAATTTATTATTAAATTAAAATGCATGACGGAGCGAAAAAAAAACATTTCAAAAGTCGTATGTCTTTTATGGAGGTTGGGGATGATGCACGCGCATAGCACACTGCTTGCTCTCTTGACACAAAACTTATTTGCTCTGCCCTCAATTGATTCCAACTGTGTTTGTTTTCATTTCCATAAAAGGTTGTCACTCGCCGTAGCCAAATGCATTTGCTGCCGGAGATGGAGAAGTTCTTTCACTCCACACGTGGCCAGAGACACAAAAATGGTATAAAATGGAAATCTTTTTCTTCAAACCCTGTCACATTTTTTCAGGGAAAAAAAATAAATAATGAATATTTTATAAACCGATAAAAATAATTATTCGAGATTGAATTTGATTCAAAATTAATTCTTAAAAGAATAAGCGTCATTCTCAATCAAAGAAAATGTGAAAACTGCAACAAAAGGAATCTGTTTTTAAACAAGACACCTATTTTGATGTTTTTTTTATCTGGACTATTTTATGGGCTTTCACAATGCTAATTTTTTTACAAAATTTAATTTTTTTTACTTAAAAAGCTGAACAGTATAGACAGTAGTTGATAAAAACTATACATAAATATAAGGAACTGAAAATTTATATTTTTTTTAATTAATTGTGCTTTCAAATTTAAAATCTTTGACTTCCCATTGAAGAACAAAACAGAAAGGAAACAATCATTAAATTTGAATCATGTTATACACAATCAAAAATATTTCAGTTATGAATCTCAAATAATGGAAATAAAATAAATGATTTTATTTGCCTTAATTCTTAATTACATTTTCCTCTATATTACCTTTTTTAACTCTTAAAAATAATTTTTGAGCCACTGCTTGATATTTTTCTAGTCCAAACAATAAGAATAATAAATAAAATACACAATTAAAACTTCTTCAAACTCTATTTTAATATACTCCTCACATATCATTTAAAGCATTTAAGCATTCAGTCTAATTAAAAAAAAAATAAACAAGGAAATGGGAAATAGCTTTTATCTGTATTTAAGATTTAATTAATATATTGCAAAAGAAAATATCTATAATTTATGACGAGAATAAACATGAGTGAAATGTCAAGTGCTGCCAGGTTTTATTTTAGTATTTTTCGGACGGTTTTTTGAAGAAGAAAAACTTTTGAAAGGTGCGTCTGGTGGCGCGTCTTGGCGTGTCTTGTTGCCGATGCTGCTCGAGTGCAAGCAAATGCGTTTTTAATTGTCGATGGGCGAGCCGCGCATCGAAATGCTCATGCGTCGCTCGAGCAAGGGCGCCCCTGAGGGACTTGGAGGGGCCTGTTGGCGCCAGCGAGGTCTCGAGTGGAGGGTGCCGTCGGTGCTGGCCCGGTCTCGGAACGGCGCCTCCTCCCACCGCCGCCCTCCTGTCAATCCCGCAACAAATGCAAGCAATTAGTCCTGAACCTTTACAACACACAACACGCAAAGAAAACTTATGAGCCTTTTCGGATATATAAATCGATCCTCATTTGTTAGTAATCAACGTGCACCTGCTCAAGGGTTAGAAATTAATTCTAAGCTTTTCATCACTAAATTTATCTCAAATGATTTAGGGATTTACATTTAATTCATATCAATTTTGAACGTATTTGTTATAGATGATAAAAATATTTGCCTTAGATTAATTTTAACAAATTACAACACTATTGCCAGTATTGAAGTAGATACGGTAAAAATTAAAAATGAATTTTCAGACTAGTATAAATAAATATTTGCCGCAAATAGCTTTTTTTCAGACCTTTGACCTTTTAAATGTAAAATTCTAAAGGTATTATTTTGAGAGAAAAAATCGTTTTTTTTCTGATTCGATCAATTGAGTTCTAAGACAAAATTAATCATCATTAAATTTTTGTTCCAAAATTGATTATGGCACCGATTTTCAAGTAATACGGCTAGAATAGTTAAAAAAAAATGTAAACTGAATAAAAGTCTCAAATAATGTATTCTCAAATATCTAATTGGATGAAAGAAAAGTCTTTTAAGTCAGAATAAATTAATCCTTTTTCCTTTTTTTTCATTAGTAAAATGACTTGAAATTTGAATCAATGTTACTACACAATTGACTGAATTTATTTTGTCGCAGATTAAAAAAAACCAATTGAATTTACTTTTACGGCAACAAAATTGATCAAAATAATTTTACTTTTTCAATTTGCACCAATATTTTTTTTTTAAATGCACTCACTGGAAATGCAAATGTATAAAAAAAAACGAAAAAAATCGTATATAATTTAAAAGTGTATCAGTAAAATTAAGATTTTTTTGTATTTGAGGTGCGGACCTATTTCTTGTTGAGACGGAATGTTGGGACTTGGGGAGCTGCTGGACTGCGAGGGCACCTCGCTGGTCGACCTTTTGAGGCGTGGACACTTGGCCAGCGACCGCCACCTGCGCACAACGTCTCGGAAAACGTCCCACACCTGAAAAAGAAACACATACGGCTGAGATGAATTACTTTCCAAAGTGTTCAGGCGCCCAACGCGTGTAAATATCTGCCCGCATGGTGCGCGCGCGTTGGGGAAGAAAAATTTATGCCCTGTCTTGTTTTCTGTTTGTTGCTCCAGAACGGTGAACGATTCTGATATAAATATATACAACGAGCAGGGAGTGCCACCGCGTGTAAAAAAATAGCAAAAACTTTTTTTCCATACCATCAAGATGTGCAACGTTCGTGGTTTGTTTGAATTTGGGACAAAATTTAAACGGAAATAAATCAGTTTGTTTATACGATTTAGTATAATTACGAAATCCTACCTCTTCAATGTTTTCGCGCACTGAGATCTCGTGGAAGGAAACGCAGCCAATGTCTGCAAAACGTTTCTGGCCATCTTCAAAAGAGACCATCCTGTCTGCAATTTGATCCGTCTTGTTCCCCACAAGCAAAACGGGCGGCTCTGTCTGCAAATGTTGAAAATGGCATTTTTTAAATAAAATTGCGATTTCATTTTATTGCAAAAGAATTTTGGTTCCATTAAAAATTCGGCCTAAACTATATATAAAAAAATTCATCCTATAAGACCATAAGAGTGTTTTTTTTTCTACCTAAAAATTGGTGAGATGCAAAATTACTTGGATTGAAAGTGATTTTTTCATCATTTTATTCATCATTGTTGTCAGCTTTTAAATTTTGATTAATATCTCACGTCTTAATTCAATTCCCAAATATATGCTTTCAATAGAAACTTTACTTTTCCGCCTTAGATTAAAAACTTTAACCAACCTACCCAATGCATTTATCTGACCTAAGAGCATATAATAATCATTAACTAACCACATTTAAGGACTAATTTTCCTTGAGATTAGGCAGAAAAATTGAATTTTACCAGATAAGGCAAATGCGTTTGCTCCTCCACAAGGAAAAACTTGACCACACATGGGGTTTTTGTTTGCCTTTAATCTATTCAAACAACTCGACATTAATGCAGAAACCAAGCTCGGAAGCTAAACAAATAGCCGTTGTGTGATATGAATTTAAACACGCATCTTTTTCCACCCAAAAAAGCTGGAGAGCGCGTGTTGGTGATTAGGGCCATAACTCATCGGCAGACAATGCAAACAGACGCTTCTCTCAGCATCAGCCGCGGAGAGAGAGTTTTAAGAAGTGGCTTTTACGCGCGCTGCACAGTAGCCACGTTTGCCGATGTAAAATAAATCGTAAATCTGCCCGCCACTTGCCGACGAGCGAGTGAGCGAGAAAAGAAGCGTTACTCACTATATTCCTCGGCGTTTAATTAACCCAACATGATCCAACTCTCGGTATTATGTTATGTATGCCGCGCGTTTTATTTGCCACTCGCACGCACGCACCCGCAGAGCACTTTGCTAAAAATAAAAATCAAACAACGCGCACGTCTGACCTCTTTTGGAAAAGTGGCGCCTCAAGAGTGTTACAAAATTAAATACTGTTGATGATTTAAATAAAAATCTAATTTATTATCAGATTTTCACAATAATTTAAATATGAGTAGTGCGTAGAACATTAAGAATACTTTATCAGACCAAAAAAAATTATGCCAAATTTATTTCTTTGACCTCTAAAATTGTAATAACTATAATTAGGAAAATGTAGGAACCAACATTTATTTACATTGTATTTCTAATTTTTTGGTGCTTACACGTTGTTAAGGTCTGGCAAAACTTTGGAATTTTGGATTTCAGAAAAGTCAAAATTTTAAATATTTATTCTTGCAATGCGACAGTTTAAACTGCATAATCTTATATTGGAAGTAAATTTCTGTTTATTTTTTTAAAAGTATATATATTTAATTTCATGTTTTTGTAATAAAAAAGTGGAATATGCACAGTTTCTATAATATTTTCAGCTTCGACTAATTTGGCCACGCCCAATCGATTGGAAATACTCCTATTATCCTAAATAGTAGAGGACCAAAGTTAACAAAAATATAATTTTATAAAATTAAATAAAAATTTTAATTTTTTTATTATTTTGAACTAAAACTTGTAAAATCCATTGTTGCAGCATTGTTGAATTATTTTCTTTTCATCCTAGACTAATTTTGCCACTCCTAAGCATAATTGGTGTTGGTCTCATTATGTTATATAGGAAAACGTAACAAATTTAACCAAAATAATGGTTTTATAATTATACATAAATATGAAACTTGCAAAAGTTGTGTTTTTTTCATTTGATCCTTACTGGATCGAATGGTGAGATGCTCAAATATGAAGAAGTTTTACTTTGATTGTGTGAGATTTTCTAAAATCATGGTATATTTTTTTCTGAAATGTATAGGAGCAAATATTTTATGCTATAAATTGGCTGGTTTTTTAATTTTTTTCTTAATTCGTATCAATTTTCGAATATTTTGTGTCACACCGAGCATAATAATTATAGGACACCGAATTTGTCACAAAATTAGCCGTAAAGATGCATGATGGTTAGAAAATTAATATATTAAAAAAATACCATAAATTTAATAGAAGTTTAAATACATGTATTGTGGAAAGCTGATAACTATTATAACTGCGTTTCTAGAAATCATGGATTTTGTATTTTTGTGAATTTTTAATTATTAATATTTTTTTCATTTTTTAAATTAAAACACTGGAAAAATACCTTGAATGCAAGTGCCAGTAGAGAAAAATGTTCAAATTTTATTAAACTGCACAAAACATTGAGTTTGAAAAATAAATCATGATTTTACTTTTTGTTTATGACTTTAATAAATGGTGCATATTTTTTGTAGAATGCTCTTGTAATGAAATGCTCTTTTGAGTGTTCAAGTGAACCAAATATATATTTGCGCTCGGAGCTATATTACAAAAAGTGCGTCTGCAAAAGCGGCGGCAGCGTGAAATGAAATAAAAGCGACGCGGAAAAAAGCGGCTGCGCTGCTGCTCGGTTTTCTTTTTCTTTCCTCTGGCTGCGGAACCCGTTTCGCCATCAACCAACGTGCACTTGGTTCGCCGCCGCGGGTGTTGTGTGTACGTATGTGATATTATTATTATATCGTTACACATGCAAGCAAGAGATGCAAACAAGAGAGGAGCTGCTGGAATAAGAAAAAGCTGCAGAAACTGACCCTGGCCGACGAGGAGAGTCGCCGCCTTCTTTTGTTGTAGTTGATGAGGAACTTGAGGCGTGAACACTCGTCAAAGGAGCACTTATCTGTCACGGAGTACATTAGAATAAACACATCCGCCCACCTGATGTTTGCTTCCAAGCCGGGACACTCCATTTCCTTTGGGAAACACATAAAAAAAAAATCGTCTCTCTTAAAGACTCTCGCATTCCATTTGAAAAAAAGAAAACTATAATGAACATGGTTCACTTCCTCTCATTCCAATGTGAATTATTTAAAATTTAAAAAATAAATAAGCGCAAATAATTTTACATTTAATTTTTTGTAAACTTTGATATATATGTGAAGTAAGCAATTGAACCGAAATTATCCCATACTCCCAAAAACTCCAATTTTTAAGAAAGCCATGAAAAAAGTTTTATAGTATTGAAATTATTGAAATTCCAATTGATTTTTGAACATTTTCCTAAAGTTGAATTAATCTTCAATTGAATTTAGTTTTTATATATAGGTTGGAACTGTTGGAAGCATAAGAGGAAATTTAAATTATTTAATAGTTTTTTTTTTCAATTTTTAAATATTTCAGCAGAGAAAATTTTTGTTTTTAATAATACTTAAAATAATTATTATAAAATTTTCAAAACGTAAATTAAGCTATATTTTTTGGCGTTTGAGACTCACATGTGGCTGACCGGCGGTGTCTAGAATTTCCAAGGGGATCACCTCGTTGTCAACGGTGGGGTTGAAAGTGTACATTTTCTCAAGGGTAGGGTCGTACTCGCCGATGAATCGCCTCGTTATAAATCGCACCACCAAAGCTGTGCGCGGAAACAGGAATGATTACAACATTATTTTTTGATTTCTTATTTGATAAAGTTAATCCGCACGTCGCGGAAGAATGGCATGGCTGGGAAAATCAAAACAGCAAAAAAGTAGTTCCGGATGAAAAAAGTTCATTCTTTACATTTTATTGTGCAAAATGAAAACGGGATAACAAAGTTGTCGCGGTGCATCACACAACGCGTGGAGACGTGAATTATCATAACAAGTTGCTTAACCAAACTTATAAGCTGATTTGGAACTGCTAATTTGAATGTCAAGAAATTGAATCGGTCCAATGAAAAAGGATATTTTAAAAATCGAATATCCCAAACTATAGTTTTGTGCAAGTCAAATCAATAATTTGAAATTAGGTCTTTCATTTTGCTATAAAATTTGAATTTTTAGATGTTTCCTAAATGAGTAAGGCGACTTTTCTATGCATTAATAATATAAATTAATAGGATGAAATATTTTGAATTTTAATGGTCGAAATACATTTTGATGTGATGATTTCCAAATCTCTCAAACATATTTATATCTTTTGCTTTCGCATTTTTCACCGTCGCAACGCGAGAGCAACATATTATAATTATGCGCTGCTTCTGTGAAATTTATTTAAGGTGTCAGCTGAGAAGAACATTAGAGTGAAGTTTGAGAGAGAGCCGCGTGTCTTTTTTTCTATCTTTTGCTGCTCTAAAATTAAACAAGCATGAATGAGGCGGACCGTCGCTGGGTCGCCTAATAAAACAAGATCAGTGCCAACTCTCTTGTTTTAGCATCAGACTCATCAGCGAGATCGTTTCAATTCCGCCAGTTAGCAACAAACCAAAAGACAAAGAAGGTGCCAATTAGTCAAATGAATTGAATTTGAATAAAACTCGCCTGATTTTCCGACGCCCCCTTGGCCGAGCACCATGATCCTGAGGGGCTTGGCTGCGCGCAACCTGGCGAAGGGCGACTTGGCCGCCGTCATGGCGCGGCGGATCAGGCCAGCAGCAGCGGTGGCCGTCTGCTGATGGCCCTCCCAGCATCACATATCTGCACACGTCCTGAAAAATAATACCAGTGTTTGAACATTTGCGAGATTTCAAACAAACGTTCCATGCTCAATCTTTCTTTCTTTTCTTTGCTTGTCTTTGGATAGAGGTCGACGGCGCCACCGATCCATTGAGTGGATGGTGCTCTTTTAATGGATTTAATGACCATGCAGTAAATGGCAAAACGCGAAATAAACTTTTGAGTATTTTAATTTCTATACTCCAAGTTTAAACAATGAAACTAATTCTTATGGAAGTTTTCTCAATATTAAATGTTGGATAGTTAAATATTCCAATTTTATATTCAAATTCACATTCAAAATATTTCATTTTTTCTTTTAAATTTGGAATTTTTAGGCAGCAAAAAATAATACATTAAAATTTATCATAATAAAAAAATCCCCCATAAGTTTTTCAAGTATTATTATAATTTTTTGCTCCTAGTTTGTATACTCATTAGAGACCGAAAACAATCAAAGCGTGTCAGAAAGGCAGTGATCCGAGAACGACTTGCTCGATAAGTTCCGAACGAATTTGGCGAACGTGTGTTTTGAAAACAATATGCAAATGAGCAGTTAGTTACCCATTGTTGTTGGCAGACTGGTGCGCTGGGGAGTTGTTTTGCCTGTGCCAGCGGCCGCTGCCCGCTCCGACGGTGGTGCCGCTGCTCTCACCAGCCATTCGATCTGCAACACACATTAATTAGCGCGGACGCCACGTGGAGACCTCGCACACTTTTCCCCATGTGAGTCGCCAATTCATTGTACTGCAGTGGCATTTAATATTATATTATTTTGCAACCCGAGCAGAAATATATAAAATTAATAACGCATTTTGCAAAGGAGGACGTGAGACGCCTCTCGAGTTTTGCGGCTGGGTTGCGAGAAAAAAAGATACGGAGAAAAATCAGCACAAACGTTTCTGCTTTCATAGGATTACAAACACAAGGGTTTCGTTACCTCCTATTATAAAAAATAAAAAATTATATATGAACATAAGATGCATTTCCTGGACATGAAATATCAAGTAAAAGTGTTCACCGAAAAGATTTATTTAAAGTTAAAACCAGTTAAAACTAAAATTATAATACAAAACCAACCTAGAGGCAGGTCTTAAGGAATTTTAAATTTTTTGATAAAAAAAACATTCTAAAAGGAAATTCAATAAACATATTTTTTCTGATTTTAAATTGTTTGAAAATAGTTAATTGCTAAATTAACTTTTTTACTTGAACAATAAATCCACACAAAAATTCAGATAACAGCTCAATATACAAGATTTCGAATTCAATCAAAAATAGAATGACTAAATTTTGGCGCAAATTTAAATTTTTAGCTGGCAAATTTTTTTATTAATTATTAAAATTATCTATCTAAAATTTGTATTCGATTAAATAATCCTTATTTCATCTTTATTTATTTATGATTTTATTCTGTGTTTAACTTTAAAGTATATTTCGGACATTTTTACTGTAAATATTAGTGTGATTGTGAAGTTCGAGTCCATGATTTTTTTTCAATTATATCCACAGTGAATCTGCAAACGTCGATTCCGTTTAGAATCCATCAATCAATTCATGCACGTGCACTTCATTGGAACTATTTTTGGCAACTTAGCTGGTATAAACAAGTCAGAGGTCACCTCAGAGCTTTTTGATAATGGAGTTTATCATTTCATTGGTCATAAAAAAAAATATGCGCAGTTAATTAAGTGCCTGCTGGGAATTTCTTCTAATAATGATGTCACTCTGATCGAATGTTTAATTAACACCAAAGGAGATTTTGATTTTTTTTTCTCGTTTCGACCTCTGCCGATGGTTGGAATAAATTTGCATTAAAAACGTCTCGTTGAGCTAGAGAGGAAAATTTAAATCTCTCTCTGTTTGTTGGAGATGAATAAATATAAGAGGTGTCTCCTTATCCGGCAGAAAAGGCAACATTGAATAAATTTCGGGATTGAATCATGCTGGTGACTTTGTCGTCTACGGAGGGAGCGAGAAGGAGATGTCAAATTCATTATTGCAATAAGTTTGAATGGCAAATGAGAGTGGGTGCGCGTGTACGTACACATCAATTTCCATTTCAAAGCGAGCTGCTGTGGCCCTGACGCTAGTCAACTCAATTGCCAGCCAGCATATGTTTGCCATTCTATATTTACATCAACAGCGGTGACAATTGAATTTGCAAAACTTTTAAATTGTCAAGCATATCTAGGAAAATTAAATTTTGATTAAAACAAATTTATGCGATGCGATTGAAATTTTACTTGTTTCTTTGCCAAGCTTATTTTTGAATGCAACTAATGAACGGTCCTGCGGTTTTAAGAGTCATTAACTTTGAATGTGATATATATCAAAGTAATTAATGTGTTGACTTCCACTAGTTGTTAAATTTATATTTTCAGTTGCAACTTTTTATGGGCTATTGTTAATTTTTGTCTTAATCGAAAAAACTTACTTTTTTTTTTATTAACATACATTTCCATATGAATTGCTCAAATTTTCATTTTCTTTTCATGTTTTTTCGGCCCGCAAGAAGTAAGAAAGAAGCAACATCTTGCAAACACATTTTGAGCAACCAGCAGTTTTTTCATTTTATAATCGAGGGGTGAGATTAAGCCACTCAGCAATTTTGTATCAGGTGGCAAGGATATTGGGTGTCAAGTTTCTATGCCGTGTTACAATTTCGCTCTGCACTGTCGAGATGCTGGTTGCGGCTACTGGGGAAAATTTGTGAATAAATTATTCTGCTGGAGGGGACATCGCAATATGGTTATGCAGCTATAGGCAAACGACGCGCGTGAGAATTGTAAGAGCCAAATTTTAAACAAAACAAAAAATATGAGGTAATTATAATTAATTTATTTCTTTGTTTATAAATTATAATTTTGTTTTAATAATTTATATTTATTGCTTATTTAATAGTTATAACTTGTATTTGTGTAATTTATTCATTTTAAATAGTATTCAATAAATTTTTTTAAGTCTTTATTATCCACAATTTTTTTTAATTATAATAAAAATTTACCTTTTTTAAAATATAAACACTATGCTGACTTACATTATTAATAAAAATTAATTTAACTCTCTTATTTGCTTGGGTTGAGTTAGTAATTATTATTATATAATTGTGGTTATATGAAAGAACATTTTGATATACATATAACACTAGAAAATATATTATTTATACATGAAATTTGGCAATGAATCCACAAAATTATGGGAATAAAGTTAGTATGTATGCTGTAGAAATAATACTTAATAATTTCAAAAGTCATCTCCTCCATTGTTTCCCATCAGAACAAAACTTTGATCTTCACCCCTGACTTGTGCAAAACGAGCAGCTGCAAATTGCTGCCCCGCACTTGTCAAAAGTCGTGTCGCCATTGTTTCGCTGCAAAGGCGGCGATTCGCGACCTCGATGATCGGCTTTCCGTGAGAAAATACCAAATTCGGTCTGCCTGCCTGGCGTGTCGAGACGAAATTTGCCGTGCGATCAGTTTTGTTTTTCACGAATTCGCGGATCCGCGTGTGCCAGTGGCGCATCCCGCGAATAACGCAGAAACGTGACGCAATTAAAAGCTATTAAGTGCAATTAGCACATTAATTATATTTTTTCAGTTCCTCGCACGTTTCGGGGGCGTCAAAACTATATTGCAAGCAAAATTATAATTGCATTCTACTTTTAAGAGTAAATCACGCGATGTGCTAGAGAAGTAAAATAATTTTTATTGTTAAAAATATAGGATTAGGTATTTGTACAGCCGTTTTAATCCCAACCTGTGCGGGCAAATTTTCCACGCTGCGTAGCGCAACAAAATACACGCAATTATGTTTTTTCGTCAGCCTCTTTTTAGGTTGCAATGCCACCAGCTGGGACGATAATTGGATAACTATTCCTAATTGTGATTTGAGAGCCAATGTGTTTCCAAGAAAGTTTTAGTGTTGGAAAAGAGTTTTTTTTATAAAGGGAGACCAGAATTCCTCTAATGTACAAAATAAGGACGTAAGTTGAATGAATCTGAAAATGAAATTAAAATATAAGATCACGAGTTTTTCAATTTACGCTCCTTTTAAAATTTAACCTAACTGAAATCTATATAAATACTTTTAAATATGTCAAAAATATGCATAGGAGTAAATTAATGAAATAAGAACTACGTGTGACTTTCAATGACAAAAATACTAATTTTGTTTTATATGTGCCAAAAGCGATAAAAAAAATGATGCTTTAATCATGATTAGATTTTTTTATATAGAGGAGGACGTCTAGTCAACCTATTTTTCTCATCCAGTTAACTTTAATTCCACGCAGAAAAGAGTAAATTTTGCGCTTTTTTTTAAGACATATTTTTTGTTTTTGCAGGAGAGGTCACCTGATATGTGTGGCCAGCAAGTGTGGAAAACACTGAAAGCTCGCACGAAAACGGACGGCAGGAGATGCGAGAACATTATTATTGTGTAATTTGTGATTTTATCACGGCGACCTACCAGAAGCGATCGCAGTCTAGGAGAGGATCGAGGCTGTTATTTAATCTTCAAGCACCTGTTGCGCTTCCAAAAGACGGATGCTGCGGCGAGTCTGTTATAAGAGTTGGCGGCGGCACATGGGGGTTGATAAGGAGCTCCTGCGAGATGAGGGTTGTATTTATCACTTGGGGGTGAGTCCGACCACGCAGGGTGCATCAAGCGCTTGCGTATTCTGGTTAACAAGTGGCGTAATATGTGTATTGCGTGGCCCAGGGATTAACAAGATTTTGGCACTTTTTTAGAAAAAGGTCAAAAACATGCTGGCGAATTTTTAAATTTTGGCCAATTGACACAAATGAAAACTTTCTCGGATCAGAATTTTGTGAGGATCATGAAAATAAGGGCACAAAATGAAGAAGGAAATAATTGAATTCTAAAATTCTTTGTGTCTTTGAATATCATTGTGACGTTGAAACTAAAATATCCGTAATTTTAACTGTTTAAGAATTACTATTTTAACCAAACAATGTCTTTCAAAGCCAGAAAAGCCTCCTTTCTTCGAGAAATAATTTAGCTTTAGATAATTTTGCTCAGCATATCTATATTTGATAAATATTTATCATGCATATAAATAAGGTTATATCAATAAAAGTAAAAAATTATTAAAAATGTATTCGTTGCCTCTAACAATTAAAAAAGTTTTTTTTAAACATTTATATGTAATTTCATTTGCAGTGGAAAATGTTTTTTTCACTTTTTTCTTATTTTGAGCAAGTGATCTGGACGACCATAAATTATGGGCGGTTGACAAAGCTGCTGCTGAAAAGAGAGATGAACTCGCCCCGCACACAAACACACTCGCTTCCCTGATAAGATAAGGGGAGAAGCGCGCTAAACGCTCATGGCTCTTGCATGTCAGTCGCACAGTCAGCGGTACATTTTATACACTCGTCTCCGTTTCCAAAGCGAGAAACGCTCGCTCAAAGCAGCGTGGAGTGAAAAAAAAAAAAAAAAAAAACAGCGCTCGCTGATTAAACAGACGCGACTTTTGGGATTTTTTGTTTAAACAGGCCATGAAAAGAGACCACATAATGACGCCAGATCATAGCCCAATATTTATCAAAGATATAGAGGGGCTGCCGAAAATATATTTAAAAAAAGGAAAATACATTTTTGACGCTGCGTCTACAATAATATTATGGTAGCCGCGTGGCATTGAACTTGCTGCTGGTTTCGCCAATCGTGCAGAAAGCAAAGTGCTCCCTGGCTTTTCCATTTTTTTTTGCAGCCGAGCACGCTGTGGCTTAATTGATGTAAACGCCGCAATTATGATGCCAACCAACTCGGCTGATTGACCGTAACGCAAAAAAGCAGCAGTCACGCTTTTCAAATTGCAGAGAGCAGAGAGCTTTTCCCTCTCAAGTTATGCTTGGACAAAGTTTTTCTCTCTTTCGGTGCGAATTACAATTTCAATAGATTATTTTCTCAGAAGAGGTTGGAGTGGAAAAGAGGATTATTTTGTACATTTCCCCAAGGCAATAAAGTTTTACAAAGCGAGCGGCGACCTCTGCTTTTTCCCTTTTATTTCGCCACTCTCATTTCTGATACCCTGAGCGCGAAATTCCACCCCCTAAGCAAGGAAAATCAGCCCTGAGCACTAAAGGACGCCAAACAGCTCAGACGATTCCTTTGTTCTGCGTCGCTCACTTGAAAATCGTAAAACGTGTTTCGAGCAGGTTTCTTCTTCCTTTCAAAGAAGTTGTAAATTTTGGCGTCTGCGGTGGCGGCGGCGGCCGACTTTTATTGATCTGTTGAGATTTTGGCGGGATGAGGAGTTTGGTGATGTGCTGAGAGGTGTCCTTTTTTATATTTTTGCTTGGCGACATGGAGGAATTTTACGGAAATAATCTTTTCTTGTTCAAGGATGTAGACTCTAGACTTGAATGTCTGCGATTTAAAATAAAAGAAGTACAAAATAATCCAGTGAAACAACAAATGCAATTCTCTTAAAACACATTGAGGAAAGTCAAAACTTAATTAAAAATGTTTTTAAATGCGCATATAACCGGAGAGTTTGATTGAATTACGAATTGCAACATGCAACTGCAATTAAATTAGTGACAAATAAACATTAATATAAGTTATAAAATATAATTCAATCTAAAATGGTAAATAAAATAGCAAATTAAATTATTGTTTGTTTATGATAATTAAATTAATACAAAATAAAGTGAATATTTCAATTAAATATAAATTTTACAAAAAAAAAATAAAAATGAAGGTGGAAAAAATTATGGTTATTCTGCTATTACATTATAAGTAATTTTAACCATTTTTTTTAAATGTGATAAATTGCCCTTTTACCTGCTATCATTTCTTATCTTTTTGAAATATTTGTATATATATTTGAACATTTTTAATTGGTTAAAAAAGGTGTTTTCTGTTTCCATAATTTTCATCACAATTTTAAAACAAATAGGACAATGAAAATTTTAAACCAGGTGCAATAAAGAGGATCGCCCAGTTTCAATTTCTCATGAAATCCACGATTCAAATAGGACAATGGTTTAAAAATTTTACCGCAGATTTTTAAAATTATCCACAAGTTTTAAAAATGCAATATTTTGCTAAAATTTTGACACTTACAAGTACGTTTCTATATTTGCGGCGTTTGAAAACATTCAAAGAAGAGCATTGACAGCATATTTTGTTGACGTTCATCGTGAGTCACTTTTTGTGGACGCTGCTGTCTGCCGTGCTGATTAGATACAGAGAGCACAGCATCTCTCGGATATAGAGAAAAAATCTGGTACGGAGCCTCAGTCAGAATGAAAATATGACCGGAGCACTGGTGTACCGAGAGCAGATTGGCAAGTGGCGCAACACGGCGCTAGTAAAGCTTTCAGCTCGTCCAAGGACGCCGCCTTGCGTCCCGGACAGCTCAGAGAACTGCACGAGGGAGTTCGCAATTTGCAGAAATCGCGGGCTGGGCCGTTTATCAAAGAGGTGTTGCAATCAAAGGTCCTGCCTGTTCTCGGCAGGAAAGTTCTGGAGAAAGTCGACGAACATCCAGACGGGGCCGTCGAGGAGCTGCAGAAGCAGTGGAGCCACTTTTACGTCCGCACACTCTGTCCATAGAAGGCCATTTTCGTCCACGAGCAAAAGTAAATAATTGTTAGTAATCAAGGTTTAATTATACTGCAATTATATCTGCTCCCAAAACAAGGTCATGTTCCAAAGGTTTTTTTCTGAGAAGTTAAACTTTTAATTTTTCAAATATTTTCTATATCAATGAATCAATTTAAAAACTTAATTTCATTGTTAAAATAACTATTTATAAGAAGATTGTTTTGTTGTTATAATTTTTTTTTTTACCTTTGATATAATATTTATCAACTTGTAAAAATCTTGTAGGCTTTCTTTCTTGACTTGTTTTCCGCCCGATTAGAATCATTTAAAGGCGCGACATCCAATCTGCTAGGCATGAAATAAAATCTCCCGTCGGCATGTGATCGGAATTTTATCAACAGACAACATCTGGTGTTCCCCAACAGCCTGATAGCCAAACTGTTGTGTTATTTTGGCACTAAAATTCAAATTAGGTCCGTAATAATAAGATCGCTCTCGGCTGAACAAAAAAAAACCGTGACTTTTTTTAAATATTTGACTGCTTGTCTTCTTTTCTTACAAAGATCGTTTTATTTATTTTATTTCATCTGAGTAGAAGCGAGAGCGATATTCAGTCAAGTCAGGCCCGATCTGCTCTTCAAGGGTCATTATATTTAACAATCTTTGATCCCGTCAGTTCAAGGGCAGCTTGCAAACTTTTTCTGTACGCATCAAAAAGGCACATTAAAAAGCTGTCATTTTATTGCCCCAAAACATTCCCCTCCTAAAAGAGGAGTTAATTATTTTTATAAATATGGAATTTCCTCTGTATAACACTTTTATTGGTATAATCTTTTTTCTGAATTCACGCAGATCATTATAGGGTGTTGATGCTTTGATTAAACCATTAAAACGGCCACGAAGCCATGCAAAAGCAGCAAAATAAAACTCTTGATGTCTATAAACGCGTTATTTCCAGCACAGCCAAAACGGCAGCAGTCAATCAAGCACATGGTCCTCGCCTGCTTTCGTGAGCACGCAGTTCAGCCCCACGAACACAATCTCACGGAATACCTGAGGGCAGTCAGAAAAGTGCCACCTACTCTGCATCAAATGTTCCTTGTCCTGCAGGTAAAACGGTGGGAAGGTAATTATTTTTGTATACAGTAATTTAGTTCGTTTCAGGTCATATTGGCACTGAATTGCTGCAGGGGAAAGGGTCGAATAAATTTATTAGGGAGAGTTTTTATATTTACTAAAATATATTAATTTTTTTATATAGTTATACTTTTTCAATTGACATTAAGTGAAAGTCAAGAATAACATAATTATAAAATTTGGGGAATTAATTTTCAATATAATTGGTGCATGTAATTACCATGTTTTTGTTAATTTTTTTCAATTTAAATACTGAATCAAATTAATTTAATGGTTGAATCTCCTAATTAATTGAGGTTTTAACACTAATAAAATTTCCTATAATGAGTAAATTCATTCATTTTTAATACCGAAACTAAAAATGAAAAATATTATTTCTTTTCAATTTTCATTTTTTTGTTCTATGAACAAAGATCAAAATGCGTTTTGAGACGCTGACTGCTCTCCACATCAGACCCTCTTGGGGGTTGCGGGGTTTGTGCGAGAAAACCCCGTAATTACGTCTAACGAGATCATGAAGCTGCCTTGCGCAAGTATTCCCTGCGCTTGGAATATAAAATTCATTTTTCCCTCCGAAGCTTCCACAGATACACGCAGGTTGCTGCACCGGCCCCTGAGCGTCGCCTCAGGGTATCACGCCAGTACCCCGAGTGAATTATTCTCACTGTCTGCGGACAGGCTCCGCTGCAAGCATCGCATGATGTTGCTCTAACTCACGTTAGGTGCATTGTTCCTCTCCTGGCGTGTGTAAAAATTAATTTATACGGCCGAGAGAGTGAATACGGAGGGACATACATACCTATAATTGCGGGAAAATATTTCGACGTGTGCGTTAAGACGTGTGAATTTTACCATAAAAAACCAACCTTGCCCCAATGCTCTACGTGAGGGTTGTAAAAAATAAAGGGATGGTATTTTAAAAATTTGATCATTTTTAACTTTTCATTTTTTTTAGCGTATCGGGATGCAAACAATCTTTAAACTTATAGGTTAATTTATGAACATTTTAACAATTTTGTTACTTTTTAAAAATGAGCTCATTTACAATTAGATACAATCTAATTAATTGCAAAATAAATCAGCATATATAAAATTTTAAAGTAAATATATATTTTATTTATAATTTATACAACTTTTACGTGTGATTTATAAAATTTCAATTGTATTTGTTTTTTAAATTTAAATTTTATGTTTTTACTATTCATAATTGAAATTAAATAAAGTTTAATGTAATTGAATGTTGTTACAAATTTATATTAAAAATAGATTATAAACTCTGCTTTATTGTTATTAAAACAAAAGTGAAAGAACAATTTCTCTGCATCATGTCAACCACCTCATTCTGTTTGCCTGTTAATCAGTTATTGAAATGATGTTATACAAGTTAAATTAACCACAATTAAGCTCCATAAAAGCTATAATTTCTTTATACTTATTTACTTAATTTGAAAAATTGCCTTTCATTATTACAAGTCAGATTCACAAAACCAATTTTCGTTTGCTCATAATTCGCAATCTGCCTCTTATAGAGCATAATAATTGCGCACATCGTGATTTATGAACATTGCATGCCGTGTCGTTTAATATTCAATTGTTGTGTAAAACAATTTTCATGATAAGTGGAGGTAAAAAGATTTAGTGTCTGCGTGCACTCGCTCTGCATTCCCTTTAAAGATATGGAGGATTAGAAAGGAAGGAAATAAAATTTTACATAAATCGATCCCAACGAGAGTGATTTTGGGTTTAATATATAAAAATTATGAGTTAATCCCTGCCTGATTCACCATGCAAATCCTACTTAACGTTTATATTACATAAAAGTGCGATATAGTCTCTTTTGATAAGCGAGAAGGAAAACTTTCTTTCCAGACAAGTACGTTTCGCGCTCAATTGCTCCTCCACGTGAGCGGCGAATATTATTAATTTGTAGCGGAAGGATGTGAGAGCAGAGATGTACGGATCTGCTATAAAAGCTCAGGCACCTAACCAAGGCAGTCACACAATCAATCTAACCGACCGACGGCGATCACCATGAAAATCCTCTCGGTAAGTATATTTTTAGAGCTTTTTGCGTTTCCAAGGGATTGAAATATCAAGTGGGCAGGGCAGTGGTGTCTTTTCCGCTCTCCAAGTTAGTAATCGGATATCCAAACCAAGTTTGTAGCTCTCAGGGGATATAAGGGCTAGGGATTTTTACTTAATTGGACGCCCTTTAAATTTAACCCTTTCCTCAGTGCACCGCTCTCGTTCTTTGCGCCGCGATGGTCGCGTCTCAAGGGAGCTTTGGAGGATTTGGAGGTGGCTCTGGAGGCGGCTCAGGTGGATTCGGAGGTGGTGCTGGAGGCCTCGGAGGAGCTGGTAATGGGGGTGGATCGGGAGGCCAAGGAGGAGCCGCAGGATTTGGAGGAAACTCCGGAGGCGGCTTCGGAAGTAACGGAGGTGGCTTTGGAGGCAACGGAGGCGACTCTGGCGGATTTGGAGGTGGCTTTGGAGGAAACGGAGGCAATTCTGGAGGCAACGGGGGTGGTTTTGGAAGTAACGGGGGCGGCTTTGGGGGAAACGGAGGCAATTCTGGAGGATTCGGAAGCAGCTCTGGAGGCTTTGACGGAGGATTTGGCGGCGAGGGACTTGACGGAGGCGACTTTGGAGGCGGTTCCTTTGGAGGCAGTGACTTTGGCGAACAAGGAAACGATGAAGGCGGAAATGGAGATAGTCATCACGGTAATTAATTAATTTTCATTTATTTATTGGAACGATGTGGTACATGTGCAAGAAAAACTTAAAAAATGAAAGAATTTGATGCCAAATTTTTAGCTTTCATTAATGAAAGTAATTATTATTAATTCTTTATAATGACTCCAAAAATAAATTTTCGTTTCAATACTTGAATTAAAAGTCTAAATGACATTGCAATTTCAAAAGCTGTTTTTATCACGCGCAGTTTGACTAAAAACAGACAATACTTAACTAAAACTTCACTTGCTATACAATAAAAAATTAATGAACTACAAGAACAAAACAATTAAACAATGCACACTAAAAAAATAAAAAGCAAATAACATTTTAAGACTATTATTAGAAAAAAAATCTTTAATTCTATTTTTGCGATAATTTCATTCATCTCCATGTCCACAGGTCACCTGCTGAAGGGATTTGCTTACAGCACTATTAATGTGCACAGACCTAAGACTCATTCCATCCCACTATACAAGTATGTCAAACATCACTATCATCATCATGACGATGACCACCATGACGACCACCACGAAAATCACCACCACGGACATCACGGCTTTGGAGGCAACCAGGGATTTTTTTAAATAAATGATTGACTGATTTGTTAATTGTATAGGTTCCTATTTGCGTTTTGTTGTATAACAACATAAAATAAAATGCTATTGAAAAAATAATAACAATTTATTATTTTAAAATGATAAAATAAAATAATTAATGCAATAAATAGTTATAAATATACATCTATTTATATTACTTAAATACAATATTATTGAATTTAAAATGTAATATGAAATAGTTAATTAATACATTAAAATTTTAAAAATATTTCTCATTTAAAAAATTTTATATATGCATAAAAATTAGTAATTTTTTAAATTTTTATGTAAAATTTGTTTAATTAAAATTAAAGATTTATGTAAAATTAAATTATAACTATCATACTGAAGCTATTCAAAATTCAGACAGCCAAAGACGTATTTTTGTGGGTCTCTGCTTAAAAAGAATCAAACGAGCGAACCATATATAGGCATGAATTTCAGCATGGCTGTTAAGCAGGTTGCATAGTTTGAAGGAAGCCCAGCGTTCTAGTAAACTTATTTATTTAATTAAACAATTAAAATTCACATAATATACTATTCCAAATATTGGAACTGCACTGCCAAAGACTGTTTGATCTGAAACCTGGATTTGCCGACAGCTTTGTGGATAATGAACAATTTGGGATCGATGCAGGCAGGGGTGTTTGATTGTTTTATCTGCAAAAACTCTTTCGGGTAGAACACCTTGCGGGACGTGTTGCTCGCAACTTTCGTTTTGCTTTTCCATTCGAAAAACTTGCTCAGCATTTTTTCGAACAGGAAAGCTAGAAGTGCAAGGGAAAAGCCGAAGACAACGGCCAGGCAGGTACTTGTGAAGTCGGAGAGTTTCAGCTGCTTTTCCGAGTTGCCCAAGTGCAGCGGACAAACCTCACTGTCGGGCTTTTTCGAGTTCAAAATGTGGCGAACGACACCACTTTCCACCATGCTCCTTAACCTGGAAAAGCAGGATTAAATTATGTATTAATTTAATTGCTTTACTCATACACTGGATTAAAAATTTGAGGGAGCGAGCTGTTTTCTTGAAATGCTAAAGCGGTCGGTCTCGAGAGAAATGGCTCTGTCGTGCTGACCATTTGGCACCGACTTACTGCATCCTCATATTTATCAAAATTCTCTTTGTAGCTTTCAAAAACCAGGGCTTGAATCTTTCTCAGCTCGCCCAGATAGACGTGATCTGTAATTTAATTTTTAAATATTTTTATTTAGCAAGATCACATTTTTTTATTAATCACATATATTTTATGTTATTATTATATTTGCAGAGACACCAACAGTTAAAAGCAAATTGCTTATTCCGGAATAAAAGTCTATGAACTGTTTTAATAACTTTAAAACTGCAATCAAATATTTTTCACAAGTTTTGATTTAAATTTAAATTTAAAATTTTGTCATAATAAAATATAATAATTAATATTTAAAACAAACTAGATAAAAAATGGTTGAAAAAAAATGTGCTCTAAAGGCTATAGTTTTAATATTAATTAATCTATAGGTTTATTAATAATGTTTTACCTTGCAAGACCAGGTCAATTATTTGTTGGTTGCTGCATTCCAGCAGCTGACCATGACCATTTTCAAGCGAATCCTTCAAATACGACATTTCATCGTCTTCTCCCTAATGATTATCGTTATTTATTATTTAATTTAACTGCAATAATTTGCGTATAACTGTGATCGCCTGCTCGAGGGCACCGTCGCTTTTTCCAAACCACTTGATACTCTTTTCTGCCAACTCCTCCGGGTGCGATATGGGAAGCGTGAATCGCGAAAGGGTTAGAAACGCCGTCAGGTTGGCCGTGTAGTACGACGTGAGAATGGTGATGAAAATCCACCATGTGGCAAATAGCAGTCTGGTCGTATCTAAAATAGGAGATATAGGGCAACTAGGGCTGAGCGTTTTAATCTATTATGAAGTTCAAAATAGTCGAATTTTTTTTAGTCGATTTTCGGGCCTAATTAAGTCGACTTTCGTCAATTTTGGAAATTTAAAAAAATTTAAAAAAACTTTAGCTATAAATAATTCAAATCGTCTGTAAAAGATTTTTAGATGGTTGCCAAAATCCATTTTTTTTTTAATTTTTTTTTGGAGCTCAAATTTCTGAAAAAAAAAAAAAATACTTTCAGCTATTTTAGTCTGTTTTTAGTCTAAATAGTCAATTTTGACCCTAGCTTGATCGACTCAAAATTACATGATTCGTGCTCATTACATAACCCTAACATCCTGTAAAGATAAGAATAAAATAGTTGATCGACTAAAACGCTCAGCCCTAGAAGCAACTAATTAGCGCTCAGCCTTGATTTTCACAAAGAAATCGCCGATTTCCTACGCCTTGTCAGAAAGTTTCGCGCGTTGTTTTGTGTGCAATTAGTGGCAATTAAATGGTATTACCGTCGGACGGGTCGAGTGGCGAGCCTTGCTTCATAATTGCGCCGTATGTGAACCAGACGCACTCCCCGAGCCGGTACAGTCGCGATTTGGCTGCCGAGGGCCGCACCAATTTGTGCCTCAGTTTGATTATGGAGAAAAACAGAGGACCCATAATTACCAGGGTGGAAAGGGTGAGCATCCACACCTGCGCGCAGCAAAATTAAATTTGGTGAAAATTATCTCTTTAATTAAAAGTACCTCTAAAGTGAATGGCGCGAGGAGTCCAGATCCGAAGAGCGATTTGCTCGGACGCGGCATCAAAAGCACCCATTTGGCCACGGACAGGGGTGTTGAGTACGAGAGTCCGTCTGGTTGTCTCGGAATGGGCAGAAATGCAGAGATAAAATCCGCTTTCTATAAAAATTAAGAGAAAAAAGTTAAGGAACAGATTAAACTACACTTTATAATTAAGAAGATAATAAGGAATATGTATTTTTTTTTAGCATAAAAATAATTGTAAGTAAAATTAAATGCCAACATCTAGCTTTCATAAACAAAAACCAATAATTTTTGTTAAATCTAAAGCAAAATAATAAATTCATTATTTTCATCTTTCATTCAATTAAAATTATGTTGATTATGGTTTTAATATTTTTAAACAGATGATTATGGTGGAACACAGGAAAATAAAAATAAACTGAGTTTAATTATTCAAAATATCAATTATTTTTAGACGTTTATCTTTTTACAACCTATATGCTGTACACTTTAAATTTTCTAAACATCTACAAGTTTTTTCTTTCCTGCTTTGAAAATCCATGTTTAATTATCTTATTTTTTGATTAAAATTTTCGAAATGACATTACTCACTTCTACAGCGTTAACTCCCGTCAGCAATTATCATTCAAATTCATTTATTTTTTAAAGCTTTAAAGAACAATAACAACCCCCACATATATAACTCCACAAAAAAATTTTCACAAAAAAGACAAACGCAAATATAAACATATATAAAGATTTTAACAAAATTTGCATTTCTTGCCCCTTGAAAGACGGTCTCCACTGGATCGGTGCTTGGGACAACGATGTGCGAAAAATTGAGCGTTTCCTCCAAAAGTTCCAGCATTTCGAAAACCATCCCCACGCCCCGGACGGTGCCGTTGATGGTCTCGGTTCCACTCAGTGGCATGTCCTTAGAAAAAGTGATGGAAATTTCTTAATTTTAATTATTTTCTCACCTCAATTGTCGTCACTTTGAGAATTTTTCCTGAAAGTGAATCGCCAATTTCCTCCATCTTTCCGATCAAATGCGTACATGGAGAAAAGTCTATATCGCATAGGCGAAGGCCAAACATGTTGCGCCGGCGCTTTTCTTATATTATACAATATTCGACTTTTCGTTCAATCGCTTCATTAGTATTCATTTTGTATAAGTCTCGAAGAGTGAGCTGATTGACCGGAACTAATGACAAAACGCGCCACTAATGGACTATGTCAAAGGAGCTTTCATCTTCACTCAACATCTCAGCCCATCGCAGTGATTAACGATTCTCAACAATAATAAATAGCATTCAAAATCTGAAACGAAAATAAAAATAACTTGTATTCAAAATGACAACAAATCTTAATTTTTGTCCAATTATTTTTAGAAATTAGAAATAAATATTTTTAGGCCTTAGAATTTGACGTGAGAATATAACAAGTCACCTTTTGCGCGCACTTTGTTATTATGACACGCCTCATGTTTGACAAGAAAATGTCATGGTGATTGTGCGGCATTAGTCAAGAGAGTAAACACAATAAGCGCAACAAAGTGCTCACAGACCACGCAAATCGCTCGTTTTTCCTCCAATATTCAAATAATTGACCAAAATATAAGCAATTTTTAATCAGCAACATTTATTGATACTTAAATATAAATAATTTTAAACTTTGGTCGCGCATAAGGGAAGCAAAAAAAATTTAATTGGGCAAACAGATTTGAATCATCTCTCGCTAACCAAGTGCATGTGGATTCCATTATACTCTGCTTGGTGTTTTGCGCAGTAAACGCACGTGGTTCCTAATTACGCGGCTATTTTCGTGGACAGCGTCATGCCGGCCGCAAACAAATAAAACATTGCACTCTCTCTTTTAAAAAGAGTAATTGACGGCCTACAAGATTTTGTATGGTTGGCGTCACATTTTTATAAAGGTCAGTCAGGTGGTTCAATTACTTCAATTTATTTTCAGTCATTGTGTTATTTATTAATCGCGAGCTATGTTTAAAAATAAATATCGCTGAGGCTATTTCAGTTATTTGCTGTGATTTGCTGTAGGAAAATTTGATATATTAGTTGCCCTAAAATTATAGTTAAAAATGATATTAATATAAAAATTTTCAATTTTTTATAAAATCATATTGACATGGACAAAAGAAGATATGCATGTTAATAAAGGATTAATTAAAATTCCTCTTTTTAATTGCAATTTTATAATTTTGCTTCATACATAATCAAGGTTTTAGCACAAGTTAAACTAAGAAAACATGATGTAAGTAATTTTCATATGATAAAATAAATAAAAATAAATAAATTTACATTATACCATAATACAGAGAGCAAAAATAACAATACATAATCTAAAAAAAAAACAGCTTTTAATTTGTACATATTGTTATTTTGAAATTACAATTTTATCAGCAATTTTTTATGAAATTATTGTTTAATAAGTAACAATAAAATATCAAATTGTAAATATTACTAGGCAAATTATAAAAAAAAATAGGAAAATATTTTTCAATAAATATTTTTAAATGCCTTACTCTTGATTTTATTTTAATGCCCTATTTTTAAGAAAGCAGATTCCCACGAGCCTTGTTCCATTTACCGACCTGGATCAGCCCTTGTGTAAGTGCATTCAGGTCGCTAGGCAACCATATAAACATGTTTGTCCCGGACGCGCATTGACAGAATTTGGCCCGTGAGAGATAATCAATCCCGCCCACCTAACACCGCGTGTGTGTATTATAAAAATTCCTCGCGGCCGCGCGTGCACAAATTCACTTTATTTTTCACCTAATGATCGGGCATCGGCGGCCCTTTTTATCCCTCGATAGGAGGAGAACACCCACGCTCTCCCTGCAGTGGTTATATTGAGCCATTAATACACATTTATAATACACTACTCCTTTCTTAATGGCACCCTACACGGGATTCTCCAAAGGGCGGTGCATCTCGCCCGAGGGCTTCGAAATGTTCGACGCTCTGGAGGCCGAGGCGCTCAACCAGGCTGACCCCAACGTTCCCATCATGCCCGTCGAGGTGCCCCCGCCCCCGCAATTTTCGGCAGTCATCGGCTTTGATATGGATGCTCTCATGGTACGTATTTTACACAGAAGAAATCAAAGTTACACAATATATACATTTATGCGGGTTTTTTTCAATTCAATAACAAAATTTAATTTTAGGTTCCAAGTAAAAAAAAAAAAATATTTATAATTTTAACTTGTAACAATCGCAAAAATTATATTAATTTGATTTAAAGTATATTTTCTTACCTTTTAAATTTTCTTAATTAGGATTTACACAAATTTTTTGCACGAACTTGAATAATAAATTAACCATGTATGAAGCAGCGAGCAAATCTATTTATGATCGCTTATATATATATATGTATATATATATATATATATATAACATTAATTTAATTAATAATTGGGGAGGATGGAGAAATAGGTTTTAGCGCCGAGCAAACAATTTGTTAAAGCACTTTTATGAAGGATAGTGTAAAGGCTGCTATAGAGCAAAAAAATAGAGAGTTATCAATGCTTAAAACTAAAATGTTGTCCAGAGTACAAATTTAAAAAAAAAAATAAGTTTTTTGAAAATAGATATTTTGTGTGTATTTTGTTTAATTATTTTAAATGTTTGATACAAATTAACTAAATTTTTAAGCAAAATAGTAATTTGTATGAAATAAAAATTATTTTTAAAACTTAATTTTTTATTTATAATTTAATTTTTTATATTTATTGTACTTTATTTATTATATAATTATATCAAGAGAAACTTTTTTTAAATTTTTGTTTAAAATACTAACATTATTTTTGAAATTACTAATAAATATAATTATATTGTAGGAACAAATTGAGGATGGCACTGATTTTAATGAAGTGAAAACCATTTCGCTCAAAACCTTGGTGCAAGACACGAGTTTGCAAAGGCTAGGATTCCTCATGCCCAACCTTCAGCAGTTAATTCTGAGTGGCAGCTACCTTTTGTCCCTGCGGTTTTATTATACTCTTGATCAAAATTTCGACCAGTTTGATCAATTTGAAAACAGAGAGTTGGGGACCGGGATGAACCACCTGACCGAACTCAGGGTGGACAACTGCTCCCTTCGCTCCCTGGACGGCCTGAGCGCCCTGGCCAGTCTGCAGGAGCTGCACGCGCCGCACAACCCTGTCGCTGACATTTGGTCTTGCTCCGTCCTCCCGGAGTTGAAAATTCTCAACTTGAGCTAGTACACAATTTGCAATACCGATTTAATTTGGATGTATAATTTCATTTCATTTGCAGCACGCAAGTGACGAATCCGAGTCAGGCCGGCTTTCTCGCGCCTTGCCGCTCTTTGCAGGCCCTCAGTTTGTTCGGCAGCCCAGCAGCAGGGCGGTCCAACTACAGGTCAGAAATCGCTAGGCAGCTGCCCAATTTAACTTCACTGGACGGACAACCGTTGGCAAGAGGTATTTTTTTGATTTTATATTATTATTATTATTATTTGGATTGAAGAAAAGATTTTGATATTTATTCAAATGGATGGTTCATATTTATTTTTCAAGAAGAACAAAAATGTCAATCATTTCCATCAGTACATCGTTCCTGTCGAGTGTTTTCCACATTTTGCATTGATGGTGTGCTGTCAGTTCTGATTTTTAACTTTGTATGGCGGAAACCTACAAAGTGTGTCATTCATTTATTTTTCCTCCTTTCCAATTCAATTAGTTAAGAAACTTTCGATTTCAAAGGGAAAAAATTAAAAATTTTCATTATAGAACTTTGATAGTAAAAATGAGAAGATTGTTTTTATTCCACTAAAAATGATTTTGTATTAATTAATTAAATGCTGAGATATTGTAAATTGAAATAAGAGTTTAATTTTTTTTTTTTATTATTTATTTATTGAAATTATAAAAGTACATTTTTAAATCTTGACGTAAACAAAAGACCAGAGCAAATCAAATTTTGTGTCATCGTGCGAGATATTGTTTCAAACTATTTGTGGCACTTATGCTGAGTTAATAGGTTAGAGTGAAAATGATTTAAATTCTTTGCAGAACTTAGTGCTGGAGCATAACGAGTCATCTGAAAACCATGATTGCTATATTAAAATCTCAAATATTGTTATAAAATAGAGGAAATTTTTATGTTATTGTTGAAACATTTATAGCATGACGTAGATAAAAACATAATTTGATATATACTGGTTTGCTATAGAATCCTATATTATTATTATTATTGTAAAAAAAATCTTTAAGCAAAGAGTTCAAATTTAATAAAAACAATTTTTACCATTCCAAATTAGCGTTATGCGCCGATTATACAATTACGGCAAGCCATGCAGCCATTTTCTTCTAGCACAGAGAACCAAAAATCGTGATCCACTGGAGTTTGAATTGGATTGAATCCAGGATATCCACGATTTGCTGCTGCCTCTTTGCAGACATTACAAACAGGGTAACATTTGTTGTAACCTTGTGTGTACGGGCCCGCTGCTCGTCCATCTATTTAAATCACAATGCAAAAATATTATCTTTTCCAGAAAATTATATTATTGTGAAAAAATCCACAACAAAAAAAATAAAAATAAAATAAATAAAATTTTTATAAGTAATGTGAACTCGTTTTGCAATTTTTTTATATCCAATTTTATGCAGAACTAGAACTAGAAAAAATAATCCCTTGGCTTACCAATAGTAGAGAAACAAATTGCAGATAAAACTGCAATGCCCGCAAATACCATCGACGCACTGAATTTCATATTGAGATTCTGCTTGTTGGTTGATTGACGCAAGAAAGCGCAAAGAAATAAAATGCGCGAATATTTATACTGTCCAAAGAAGTTAAAGTCCTTGTAATTTATCAAAATGGAAAGCCCGAAAGTTCAAAATGTTATCCTCCGCTATCACTTACGTCTTACAATACATAGTATTTTTGGAATCCCTCTGCCATGGAGCCAATGAAATGAATTATGTATATCCACACCATCCACATACAAAGACGAGATAAGATGAGAGAAAAAAAAATTTCTGTCAGATCTTGCAGTTCAATCATTTTTCTTGAAGGTTATTCTAAAGTTCAAGGAAATAATTGAGGATTATTCTTGATTTACTTGGATAATAGCGGTTAATAATTTCACTTCTACATTAATTTTTTTCTTCTATGACATCAGAAATCGTTCTGTAAAGATCTTGTTTCTGTTTATTTTTTCCATTTATAATCTTTATTTAATATATTATGCATTAACAAAGTATTATTCGTTTGACCAGATTTCTAGACGTTTTCTATAATTTTTTCCTCAATTGTAGACTGAGGAGATAATAATATATAGAATTAAAAACATTGTTATTGTGGCACATGCATGCGTGGTTGAGGATCAAAGGTTCCGTCAATGGGGAAAATCGGGAGAATCCAAAGGAAGGAACAGAACAATGATAAGGCGCCCTTAATTAATGAAGGGTATTAATGGTGCGGTTGTTCCAAAATCATATGGTCCATGCATGCGCTACAGCCAATATAGAAAACATAGAAGTAAAAAATTTTAAATTAATAAATTGTGGCAATAAAATATATTATTAATATATTATTCCAAATTTATTTACAAGGGTTTTCATAATTATACAGTAATAATTAGTTATAAAAACTTGACTAAAGGTATAAAAATTTAAAATGAACATTATTAATATTTTAATTTTTGTTTTTAAACTATGGTCTTATTTTGTTAAATTTTTACAATACTTTACTTGCAGTAATTAATTTAATTTATATTATTTGAATACTTTTAAATTTATAAATGATGCAAAAAAACTGAACATTTATATGTAAATTTTTAATGTCTTGGCCTTCATTACATTTCAAATAAGACTTATCAGCTTCATCAGACATGTTACAAGTAAAGGATTAAATACCATACGAAAAAATTAACCCATGTGTTTTTTTATGCAGGGCGGCGCAGCAACGCAGACGGCGCAGACGACGATGAGGGGGAGGCTGACGGTGAATCACCGCGCGCCAGACCAGGGAGGAATGATCGTGACCTTGCCTCGATAAGGGTCACGACTGACCGACAGTCAGGTAACAATAAAAAAGTTGAGGGTGCTCTCGCTCGCCTATCGAGAGAGAAGATCCCTTTGTTCCCACGCCCGATTTGAATTTCCCATGATTGATGAGAAAAGTTATTCCTCCTAATCGCCGCGCGCGTATTGTTTTTGCCCCTTTTCCTTTTTCCTTGTTAATTGAGTTTACAAGATTTCCAGAAATTCTCGTTCTTCGTGATTTAATTATGGGTTCTGTTGATTTTACCACGCCATTTGTGGGTGGAGATTTAATAATGGAAGGGTTGAAAGCCGAGAGATGTTTAAAGGGTTCTGTATTAATAGGACGCACACTGCGCCCAGAAACAATATTAATGCGAGTCTTGTATAAATGTTTGTGATGCGTTTTAATTGCCTAAAAATGAAAGCGATTTTTCAGCACTAATGATCTGTAATCCATTAATGTAAAAAGAACAAATAATTTGTGGAGGAAACCATATTAGTTTTTGAATTATGGAAAAATAAATTGCAAAAACATTTTTTTCTTTTTTAGATATTTCATATTTTTTTTCCAGATGACGATGACGACGGATATGACACGCCCAGCAAATGAATGTTTAGAAGTATTTTTAGGCTCTTTAAATTCAATCTCAAGTATTTTATCACTTCTTAAATTTTCTATACAATGCAAGAAAGAGCCGAGCCCTGCGCGCGAGAACAAATCAAATATTATTATCATTTCTTGGGCTACTTGAGACTTTCATTTTTATGTGGCTATAGTACGAGTGTTTGCTCTCGGCTTGAGAAGTTGTGCTTTAAGAATTATATTTGTCTAGCTCTCCTAGGATGGACACAAGAGAAACTTCAAGATCTTAGGCATTGTTGTTATAGTGACTAAAAAGTATTAATAAAAAATGGAAAATCGTCTCAAAAGTAAAAATCTTAAAAATTAAACCCTCATGCATTTAAAATTATGCAATAATTTCAGATAAAATTTTCGATTTTGAAACCAATCTAATGCGTTAGGCATCGTGTGCGTCAAGGATGAGTTGCAGGTTGCGTTTTGTTCTGGCCGAATGCCTTATTTTTTTCTCTTATTTCCCCCGCCACGTTTGTTTTGTGGCACATTCTGAATAAATTTGCCTCCATCATCACTTTCCCCAGCAATTGAAGAAAACGCGCTGCATCATGAAATAAGTGGGTTTGATGCAACTAACGGATATTGCAGTTGTTTCTAACAGGAATGGCATACCGCAATCTTGAGTTGCCTTCAATTAAATTCAAGCGATAATATTCTCAAGGACAGGTTTAATTTGTTTTCCTCAAGTCGCGCTCAAAAAATGGCCAGTCAAATAAAATTAAATTGAAAAAACTACAGATTTATTTGAGCGGCGCAAAATTCTAATAATTAAATTAAAACGGTCCAGAGTAATTATTTGAACTAACACTTGTGTCACATAATGTGAAGTTTAGAGTTTGCACCGCAGACTTTGTCTTGATCATTAGCGGGTAAAGTGCGTGCACACAGGCACCTGTGCACCACGTGACCTGAATTAAACTGAATGAGACTGGAGAAAAGTGCCCTTTGAGCGCAGCAGCTATCTCTGCTGCAGCGATAGTGGGGACCGAGTCTGGCGTTGGCCTTGATGCGGTGACGGAGCTCGAGCCGCCGCTGCGAAAAGTACGTAGTCTTTAGCGGCTGCACAATGTGGAAAAGCATCGCCACTTGGCTCGTCGTCTACGCAATTGCCTTCTTCTACACGTGGCTCCTGGCCCTGTCCTATCTTTGGAAATATGTGACCAACCCCGGGGTCAAGTTTTGGCGCGTCCAGCGCCGGGACACGCCGCCCGACTGCCTCACCAACCCCGACTACGGACAACATTCGTACATTCAGCTCAAAGTGAGAAATGAAATAATTTTTACGGAATCATAATTTAATTTAATTCCCTTTATTTTCAATTTCAAATTAAAAAAAATATATATTTATTGAAACTAAACCCCAGTGACGCGCTTCCCAAAATGTGGCTGTGACGCAATTGAATAAATAGGAGTTAGAGCACGTGGTAGGGCCACTGCCGGCGCACCTATAAGTTTTCTAATATTATGAAACAAAATGATCAGAACAACCTTGCGTTTGTAGCTTTACGAGATATTAGCAGGATTATCAGCTATGAATAAAAATTAGATAATTTTAATTCAGAAGTTTAATCATGATCAAACAATACTGCAATTTTAAAAGCATGAATCATTTCAATATCTCTATTTTTATTCTCAAAAAGTTTTAGACGATGTACATGATTTAAATGTTTCGAATGAGAAAAATATTTAAAAAAGCAATTCAATTCCAAATTTGACAACACAATCTCCGAGTCCTGGCTAAAATGAACTTCCAGTCTTATAACTTTCTGCCTCTCGAAATTTGTAAAAATAACAATGCTGATTATATTTCAAAATACTTATTATTAATTAGGTAGTATTTTCATCAGCGGGAGGTCAGTCCTCCGACCAATCAAGCTAACCACAGCTGTTGTACAAGGTTAGTTACGTGATCTTGATCTATCCAGCTACAACGTATGATTTTCAAATTATAGTTTATTTATATTCTACGAGTTTAAGGAAAATAAGCATTAATTTGGGAGCTTAAAAGGAATACAAAATAATTAATAAATTGCCGTTGTTTGCAATTAAAAATTACCATAATCTCAAGATTGTTGCTGTGGTTTTTTTTTCAAGAAAATAATAAGTTTGAATAAATTTTAAACTAGTTTCAGAAATAAATGATAATTGCTTTTAGAAAATAAACCTATTTGTCATTGCTACATTTATTTTTCATGTATAAATTTCAAATAAAAAAATAAAACGCTAGAACATGGTTTAATTTTTAATTTTAAATTAACTTCAATGGCGGATTTGATTAAGAAACCAATTTACGTAAAAAATTCTAGCAATAAGAATAAAATATAATAAAATGCGCTATTTTTTTATTATTATATATTAAAAAAGAGCAGTAGCATCATTGGCTGTTCTACATGGAGTTGATCGTGACTCCGCGCTTGCTTCATTTGTATTCTTTCAGGACGTGAAATTGCACTATGTGGAGAAAGGCGATAAATCTAAGGAGCTGATGCTCTTCGTGCACGGATTCCCTGAGTTCTGGTACTCGTGGCGCAACCAGATCAAAGAGTTTTCCAAGGACTATTGGTAAAACAGTAATTTTCAATTTTTCGGTGTGAGCACAATTTTCCTGCAGGGTCGTTGCGATCGACCTTCGGGGCTACGGCGACTCGGAAAAACCACGAGGCACCGCCGCGTACAGTCTAAACACGCTGGTAGACGACTTGCGGCAACTTGTTTTGGCGCTGGGTATATTATAATTAAATAATTTGCACCGCAGCAATCATGTTATTCAATTTGACAGGCAAGAAGGACTGCATTTTGGTGTCCCATGACTGGGGCGCGGTCATCTCTTGGTACTTTGTCATGACGAACCCACAGCTTGTTTCCAAATACATTGTTATGAACCTGCCCTTCCCTGAGGTCATAAAGAGCCACCCCTCCATTAAACAGTTTTTCATGTCCTGGTATGAGAACAATTAATTAATTTTGGAAAATATTTATTTTTCTACAAACGTGATCTATTTTTAGGTACATGTTTTTCTTCCAACTGCCATTTTTGCCAGAGTTGTTTGTGAGCAGTTACGACTTTGCTGGTTTTCCAGCAATGCTCCGAGCTGGCAAAGGAATCAACTCTAAAGTCACAGCCGAAGACGTCGAAGCTTTTAAATATACTTTCGGAAAGCCAGGTTTGTGAAATATTTGAAGTTGTCCAAATATTTTGATTTTTTAAATCTAAAAATTAAATTTTTAGGTGCATTGACCCCACCGATCAACTTCTACAGAAGAAATATATTCTCAGAGAGCGGCGCTAAAGGCTTGACCCGAAAACCCAAGACAATGCCACCCGGCCTTCTAATCTTTGGCGAAGGGGACAAATATTTAGATATAAGAGGGGTAGAGCTCTCCAAGAATTATGTTCCGAAGCTTCAGACAAAAATCATCAAACGAGGGAACCACTTTGTGCAACAAGACGAACCTGAAGCCGTCAACGAGGCCATGCGAGAGTTTTTGAAATCATTTTAAGACCAAACGAATCAATCATTTTAATAACAATAATTGCACCTCATAATGAATTATATATTGCCATTTAAAGATAGTCTTTGTGATCATCTCAACGTGGAAAATAAATTTGTTTAGTTAAAAATAACATTACCTTTTAGTTTTATTATTTCACGATGGAAAGAAAACATCGCTCTTGAATGGCACTACAAAAGTTTCAGTCCTTTCACTAACGGGTCGACCTCTGCTGGACCAATCCCGAGGGCTGTGACAGTGCCCGGGGCCACTTGAGTGTGTCCGGCATCTCTTATCAGGACTGTGTTGAAGCCAAGGGTCATGGCTTTTGCATGCAGGTCAAATATTTCAAGCTCGTTCTCACACTTCAGCACAATCTGAAATCACAATTGCTTTAAATTATTTTATTTTACTAAAAAAACTACAGTACTTTTGGTTCTCCGACCATTTCCCACTTGGACAGCAGTTCGGGAGTGTCTCTGAGAGCTTGCCTGTAGCACCCAATAGCAGCATGACAACATTGTGAAGCAATTTTACCTTTCAGAAATCAAAATCAATGAAGCATAATTATATTACAATTATAAGCCGACAGTACCTTTCTTCATTTGCAAATCAGTTCTGATGACGAGGGCCATTTTCAGTCCGTAGAAGAACAGCCGTGGCATCTTGTTAAGCGTGTTTGCTGTTCTGTTCTTGCTGCAGCTTTGTATAATTGGCCATGCACTCGCGGAATTCTTGCACTTCCTTCTGGCACAACCGCCAATCTTGCTTGAAAACAATACAGTCCTGCAATGGAAAAAATTTTCAATAGAAAAAAATGCTTGTTGAGAGTGACGAGTGACATACAATAGCCAATGAGAGTGTGCCAATAAATAGAGATGTCATTTTAAAATAAGACACTTATCTTCTGTGCAAGATCAAGTGCTTTATAATATCCTTACATATTCTTACATCACTTTGAGGAGAATATGGCAAGATAAATAACAGGGGCAGAAACATTTTAAAAAATTGTTGCGAAAATGATTTTTTTTTTAAATTCAGTTAGAAAAATAACAAATTATGAATGTCCATAATTAATTATTAAATTTAAAACAAAATCAGGTAAAAAAGGGAGAAAATTTTATTAGATGCCTGCTTTGTTTTGGCCCATACAGGCCGTACATATTTTTAAACTTTAATTTTTTTATTGCTAGATTAAGACAAATAATGTTAAAGCAAATATTTTATTTTGAACCTGAATTTTGTAATGCAGCTGGATGCAACCAGTCTTCTGGAGCATGCTCTCTACAGGGTCCTCCACATTATCATTCTGGTCCTTGGGTTTGGGCGCAGGAGGTGGGCTCATTCTACAGTTCAACACACCATGAAACGACTATACAAATCATATTTACACAGTGTACTATCTTTATGACACAACTAATTACCCCTGCTCCGGATTAAACTGCTGCAAGGACTCCAAAGGCAGCGAAATTTGCAGACTACGATAATGTGCCGGCCGCTCTCGAGCTCTCTATTTTGGTTCGCCAGCTGGAAAAAAAGGTAAACAACGATGGCCGCCCTCGCTGCACGTCGCTTTTCGTGGCTCCTCGCAAATCGTCCCAATCTCGTCCGACTGTCCGCGCACAGATGCTGTTCGGACAAACCGACCGATGCAGAAACTCCAGAGGAATCGACCAAGCAGAAAAAGTTGAGCGGCTTCGCGCAGTCCTTCCAGAGGCAGTTCAAATCGCAGGAGGCTGCGGTTCCGCACACCCCTGCCCAAGATGAATCTTTTGCCACTCTACTGCGGAATTCAAAATTCATGGATGTGAGATTGTTTTGCCAAATTTTTAATAAAATTTTTACCATTGAATTTACGCAGCTTGGTGATCCAAAGGGTAAAATCGTGAGCGGATATATTTACCACATTGTGGGTGACGACCTGTACATTGATTTTGGTTTCAAATTTCCCTGCGTCTGCATTCGACCAGCAAGGAATGGAGCGTAAGTTTCAATTAATATTTTTATTAAAGAGTTTATTTCATTTTTTATTTTAGAGCTTACGTTCGTGGAGCCAAAGTGAGGTTGCGAATCAATGAACTGGAACTGTCCACTCGATTTTTAGGATCAGAACGAGACATGACACTTCTGGAGGCGGACTGTACTTTGCTAGGCCTCATTTACTCCCCTGCGCAAGCATTCCAAGCAAGCAGGGGTCCATCAGTAGTACCTTTGTGAAGTAAAATAGTTTCAATCTAGTAAAATAATCCCAAGGATATTAAAATAAAAACTTATGTCAACAAAGCAGGAGTATATTTCTGAATCAAATCTTTTTATTATCTCTTTTTATACATGCAAGGTTTTAAAGTGAGCAATGGAAGTCCTTTTCTCTTCGAAATTGCATCAACCTTTTTGAAGTCCATGAAGTAGAAGAAGGTCTTTTCCAGGTTTTTCGAAGTCAATTTGAAACCGAACTTGCTCATTTCGTGAATGAATGTCTTTGCTCCGTTCTCTCCGTCGAATCTGCTTTCCACCTCTGCGATTTTCAAAGCTCCTCTGTAATAGTAAATCTGTTTTATATTTCATGATTATCTTGACTTATCAGTTTAGACATGATGCTAGAATTTATGTTTCAAATGATTATAAACAGAGTACAGACCCTTCTTTGAGCACTCTGTTGGCCTCGAGTATAAAGTCTGCGAGATTGGTTCCCATGAGCGAGAGACAGAAAACAGCGATGTCGACAGAGGCGTCTGGCAAGGGTGTGTGGGCCATGTCACATGCTGTGACATGCTCATTCAGAGCAACCAGGTCAAACGAGTGAACTTTGTTGGCAACACTTTGAGCAAGACGAGCTTCGCCACATCCAAAGTCGGCTACAACCAAATTGCAGTTCCTTAAATTAAAGAATAAAATTAAAAATACAAAAATAATTTTAGAAAATTGCTGTACTTCTTCTTAATATTGGCAATGATTTTGTCCAGTGGGTTGAATTCCCATTGCTGCACCTGATGTTGGAATCCTGAGTGATACGCTTCAAAAGCCTCGGGGTTTTTCTTGAACAACTTTTGCGACCGGGTTCCTTCTGCAGTGTAGAGCTGCTCATTTAAAAGCCTGGGGTGTATTTAACTTTTAGATGATTATACTAAAAATTTCTTAATTTTTACAAACCGAAATTGAGCACCTTGCAGACGTCCTTCCATTCTCTCCCTGAGGGAAGCCGTGGGTGCCTTTTTCTTTTTCCCTTTCGAGATTCGGATGCTCGGACAGTCATTCATCCATTCTTGGACTTTGACTTCGCTCTTTTCGTTAATTTTGCTGCTTTTCTGACTTAATTTTGATCCATTTATCTTCAACGCCTTGCCTTTCCTAACTCTGTTGCCCTTCTGCGAACCTCTTTCCATATTTTTAACTCTAATATTGTTCTTTGTTTTAGCCATTTCTCCTCTCCCTAAACAATAATTCGATCATAATATATGTTTTGATGACATATGTACATAAAAAACAGACAATAATAGTGTTTCTGAATATATTTAGCTAAATTTATGTACTCACGCTTATTATAATATGTAATTCAATTGGAAATTAATCACTCTTAAAAATGAGCTTCGTTTATGTAATGGGTAATGTTTATCTGATGTTTATCTTTCAACCAATGTAAAGACACAGTTATTGTCATAAAAGTTGAACACAAAATCAAAAGTTGTGGCCATGTCATGAACTTGATTGGAATAAGACCAAAACTGTGTGTGCGCGAAACGCGAAAATATTATTTTTAACAGCTGGCCAGTACCACAAGGACCAACCTTGAAGTGTACCAACTTGAAAATATTTTCATTGACAATGATATTATTTTTTTTTTAGAATAAATTGAGATTAAAAAAAAAACATAGTATTTCACAGCATATTTTACAAACTTCATAATGTAATTTGCATTTATACATTTGATTTCATTAGCGTTCCTTTTAAACTCGCAAAAAAGAGCAATTCCATTTTGGTTGGCATTAATCCTCGCGCTCAAGATCGGCCATGGATCAGCAGAACAAGTTGCAAATTTCAACCCAGTTATTTTGATTGAATTACTGAGAAAAGGGGAGCCGAGTTTCATTACAACAGAATGAACATTGCGAGGGCAAACGCACTGATGCACAACAGCACCGAAGAAACCTCTCGGCCCTTCAGCCTACGGGAGCAGGAGACCCAACCTGAGATGAGGCACAGGTCCGGCTCCTGGTCTGGGGCCAACGAAAGCGAAGATGGTAAACATTATTTATTGTCGTTTGAAAATCAAGATTAACCTTTATGACATTGCAGAGATTGAGGCGATGCATTTGGAAAGAAATCACAACCAGCCAATCAACTGCAATGTTGCTGAGCACCAGAGTTCAGTTTCCCAGGCAGAAGATAAAATGCGCAGGAAACTTCGCTTCTTTTTCATGAACCCGATTGAAAAGTGGCAGGCTAAACGAAGATTTCCTTACAAGTTCATTGTGCAGCTCATAAAAATTTTCCTCGTCACTGCTCAGGTATGCAATAACTCCTGCTGTGTTTATAATTTGTTACGAAATTTAAAAATTACAGCTGTGGTGGTTTGCGAAGAGTAGATACACGCACATAAACTACACCTGGGACAACAGGATTGCCTTCTCACACCTTTTCTTGCGAGACTGGGATCCGATCAGGGAGGTGGACACCTACCCTCCAGCAACAGGTCCAATGGCTCTCTACAAAGTCGACGAGTTTTTCGCCACCATCGATTACGCAGTTCTTGGTGTAAGGAATTTATTTAGAAGAAATTTATTTATTTCACTTGCTAAAAATCTTTCAGTATGCTAACTTGACCAACGCAATTGGCCCGTACTCGTACCCCACCCTTGACAATTCAATCACCCCGCTTGAGTTGTGCATGAACAAATACAAGGAGGGAATAATTTACGGCTTCAACGAGAGCTACATTTTCAACAGCGAAATAGTTGAACGTATGCCTAAATTTGATATAAATAAAAATTTTAGATTTTACCAACACTTTACAGACTGCGTGAACTTGACGGTGGCTGTGAATGCAAGCGACTTCTCGAGTGCAGAATTTTTGAGCAAGAGAAATCACACTGTCAACTTCTCTGCCCTCGTCTCGGCCAGTCTTCGTTTTGCTGTCAAAACTGTCAACTTCAAGTCTGCTGGACCTATTTCCCCTCCAGACTGCTACAGATTTGATATTCATGTATGCATTCCATAAATTTGTAAACACATAAAATAATCAATATTTATAAAACAGATCGATTTTGACAACGAAGACCATGATGGTCAAATGATGCTGACTTTGGATGCTGAAGCTCTCCGGTTGTACTGCAACGGTGTAGCTGAGTACACATGTAATTTTCTAAGCATTGAATCAGCTTAAAATTACTAACTTTGAATCATTTTCAGCCGACAGCCTTACAGGCTCAATCCTGCGCAGTCTGATGAATTGTGTTGTGATTCTAATATGCAGTTTGTCCCTAGTCCTATGCAGCAGGGCCATTTACAGAGCGCAACAGCTCAAATGGGTATTAACTTTGACGTTACTTTTGAATGCAGTGCTGATGAGACAATTTGTTTAGGAAACGGTCCGCTTCTTTAAGAACTACTACGGAAAGGATTTGAGTTCACAAGGATGCTGGCAGTTTGTCAACTTTTGGTACATCATGATCATTGCCAACGACATTCTCATCATTCTCGGCTCGGCCATCAAAGAGGAGATTGAGAGAAAAGTACGGGTTGGTAACACTTTAACCTATTTGCGTCTGTCCCTTTCGCTTTCAATTTTCCTGTTGCTAATTTTAAAAGGTGGAAGTAATATTAATAAACAAAATAAATTGCAGCATTTTGTCGGAGACCAGTGGAACATCTGCAGTTTGCTCCTCGGAACTGGAAATCTCTTGGTCTGGTTCGGAGTTCTGCGTTACCTAGGTTTCTTCAAGACATACAATGTAAAATCAAATCTCATAATTTCTGTAAAGAATACCAAATAATTCAATTTTTTCCATATCAGGTGCTAATTTTGACGCTGCAAAGGGCAGCACCTCGAGTGGCCAGATTTTCCCTTTGTGCACTGATAATTTATGCTGGTTTCACATTCTGCGGGTGGCTGATCCTGGGACCTTATCACATGAAAGTAATGCAATAGCCTGAGGTAAAGAAATGAATTTCATGACTATTTTTTTTTAGTTCCGCTCGTTGTCGACAACCTCGGAGTGCTTGTTTTCCTTGATAAACGGTGATGACATGTTTGCCACCTTTTCCATCATGTCAGACAAATCCATGATGCTGTGGTGGTTCTGCAGAATCTACCTCTACTCTTTCATCGCCCTGTTTATTTATGTTGTGCTCAGCTTGTTCATTTCCCTCATAATGGATGCCTACGAAACCATCAAGGTATGACAAACTTTGATGCATTTAAGTTCAGAAATTTGTCATTTATATCGGAAAAAATTTCAGTGCTTCTACCAAGAAGGATTCCCAAAGAGCGATTTGATGGAGTTTGTCTCTCAGTGCACTGAACCAGCCTCGAGTGACAGATACCGAACCGACTCGTTCACCAATGATCCCAGCGACTTGCTCAAATGCTTGTGGTGCTGTCGAAAGTACGCAGAAAAATTTTACAATCGCTTTTTTGGCGCTGCCAAACCATCCAAGTACTTCTCCCTCAAAAGCTTTGACAATATTTTGCACTAATATTCCTATGCATTTCCTACTGCTTGCATAGACAATCTCTTATTTATTTTTGCTTGTTGCTAATAAAAATATACATTGCATGTTTCACTTTTGTGATTCTTCTGCACATAGTTAACTTTTCCTTATTTGCTTTGCTCTGCTAGGTGAGACGCCCTTTTTTGTAAAGAGATCAGAGTTTTCATAGTGGCTCCTTTTCAGGAATCCAGCCTTTGACAGAGAAGACGAGCCAATCTTGCAATGAAAAGAGGAACTTGGCTGTTCTTTTTATTGATTGACATTCCTGTCAAGATCTCTTTGTGCGGACATCTTGCTCAGACCGCAGCTGCTACGCCGAGAAATCAAATTACTTTTTTTATCCGTTGATATTAAGTCTATATATTTTTATTCACCCAAATAATGAGACTGCATTCTTGATAAAAGTATGTACAAACTGATGCTTCAACTCTCTGGTCATGTTTAGTTCCAAGCTTTATTCGGTTGTCGACATCCGGCTGATTAAATTTATGTCAAAGTCTTATGAGTTGAAGCAGAGATAAAACTGATTGATTTTATTGATTATTATACATTAGACCACTGTATTTGTAATATTGGAGACACTTAGCATAAAGGTTGTAATCAGTTATAATTTTTAAACAATTGTAAGTGACAAATAATAAATAAATATTGTATATAGGCAGAAACCAAAGCAAGCAAAATTTAACAAGAGAGCGCTTTTTTTTCAAAGCATTCCAGCTTTTTTGATCAGTATGGTGTACATATATTGCTTGCCATATTTTAAGCATTGTTCTGAAAGTAACATTAAATCCTATACACAAATTTTATAAAATATTAAAAAGCGTTATTAATTTTAATTCCTATATTTAATGGTCAAATATTTGAAGAAATGAAGAAGAGTGATATACTTTTATTTTCACAAATGTGGGGCTTATTTAACTTGGGAGAAGTTGATTTATTAATTTATCGCTGAAATTTCAACAGAAAAATTCAGTGCTATCTTTCATGTGACACAATCGCTTGTTGATCGGTTGCTGATTAAATGTTATTCTGCGTTGGTTGTCAAGAGACTCGGAGAACGCCAGCGCCTGACCCCATTCTTGGCGCTTAGTTAGTCTCGAGCCGGCGCTATGTTGGAGCACATGCCATTTCTGGCCACTTACTGGCCATACATAGTAACTTTTTTTGCTGCTATTTTTGTCCCAGGACTTTGGCGAAAAAATGACAACCAAGGAAGAAATGACGGCGCCCCTAAGCAATATCAGACTCCAGATCAAGGTACTTTTAATTTTTCGCCTTATATTATAATAATACATGATATATAATATATAATTTTATATTTTTTTTTCGTGTACTGTGATTTTTTTCACTTTCCTTTTTCTCTAGCTCTGCCACCAAAAGTGGGAAATTTTGTGAACATCGATTTATAGTAACTTGAAATTTAAATTTGTGAGTGATTTCTAACAATAAGCTTGATGACCATGACTTATGATACAAAAAAAAAACACTTTCACTGACCTGGTTAAGTACATTGTATGTTGGCCACTGCGCATAAATTTGAAGGCTAACTTGTTACAAGCAACAAATAAAAGTAGCTTAAATTTGAAATAGATTAAATTAAAAATATAAAAAAGTCCAATAAAAGTCCCTTGTATAATAAATCTAGGCAACCTGTCAAACATCTACGCGCTCTCGATTGCATAAACTGTAATTCATTTTTTTACAGTCGCTGAAATAAAAGAAGAGGAAGAATGGATTGAAGATCCACATGACCTGACGAGCGCCCTCCCCGAAGACTTAGAGCACATTCCACTCCAGTATAAAAGACCTTCCGACGCTGAAATGCTCAAGCGATCCAAGGAGTACTATGAGCAAATGAACGCCAGGCGCACAATTAGATATTTCAGTTCCGACCCCGTCCCGTTTGAAGTCATCAAAAACATTGTCAAAACTGCAGGTAAAAAAATTTTAAAAATAAATCGCTGAAAAATAATATAAAAAAAAATATCTATAGCAACTGGTCCCAGCGGCGCCCACACTGAACCGTGGACTTACGTGGTTGTGCAAGACCCTGACGTGAAAGCCAAGGTGCGGCAAATCATCGAAGAGGAGGAGGAGATCAACTACAAAAAGCGAATGGGTCAGCAGTGGACAACCGACCTGAAGCCTTTGAGGACCAACTGGATCAAAGAGTACCTGACAGACGCGCCGTACCTGATTCTTGTCTTCAAGCAAATGTTCAGCTTGAAACCGGACGGCACCAAAAAGATCCATTACTACAACGAAATCAGCGTTTCCATTTCGTACGGAATTTTCCTCACCGCCGTCCAGGTAAAATGATGTAAAAAATTTTAAATTGCATTTTCTGAATTTTTTATTCACAGAACGCCGGTCTTTGCGGTTTGACAAGCACGCCTCTGAATTGCGGCCCTGCTCTGAGAAATCTCCTTGAGCGCCCACCAACTGAGAAGTTGATGCTTCTTTGTCCCGTCGGCTTCCCTGCAAAGGACGCAACTGTTCCTGATTTGGCCAGAAAGCCGGTTGAGGATGTCATGGTTTTATTCTAGGCATTATTTCTCTTGCCTTCACTAACTCCTTGATATATTTCACACCTAAACGGCTATTTTAATTAATTAATGTCTATTTTATTGAATTTTGGTGAAAATAAAAATCTGAATAATATATTTTGCAGGCGCTGTACTTTTTATTCCTTTTTATAAACCGCTTTCAACTATTTTTTTTTTTAATCTCAAATTCTAATATATTTATAATTGACCACAAATTAAAAACTATCATCACATCCCAACTATTTTGCCACTTTTCTGCAAAAAGATCCATTTTTATAAATATCAGATGCCTTTGATGATTATCTTTGTTCTTTAGCATGGGGTAGAATTAAGCCGGTGTCCGTCACGATCCTTCAATAGTATCCCCTGATTTCTGAAATATAATGAAATGGTCAATAATTTAGCATTAATTTTGACGTTTTGTTGATTAATGCGCGCAGCAAAAATGTTAGGGGCCAACAGGAATTTTTCTGTGCAACAGTCAGTGCTTCGTTTTTTGTTGGGGGAATTAAAAAAAATGGTTCTTGATTAAATTAAATTAGTGCTAATAATTGAGTGATAATTACCTTCAAGCAGAAGCTTATTTTATGGAATATGAAGAGTGCCTTTGGATGACATTGATGTGCCACCAGTTTTAATGCTTTTTTTGTGCACATTTTATTTAAAAAAATATCTGTACTTTTAAATTTATCTTTTGTGCTGACAATAAGCAAGATTAGCGTTTTATATGTTGTGGACACATAAAAGTGAATTAATTGTATAATTAAGCGCATTTTTTGCTGTGCTTCAGTGCACTATCATGTGTGTGTGAAGTAAAAATTATTGCTTGTTAAATTTATTTACAAATATTTTGAGAACAGCCCATTTACACTTTATTAATCACCAGAGGCTACACAAGTGGTAAAAAACCTTACATGCTAAAGTATTGTGAAAGTGAAAAAATTCTAGGCCATCAAAAACCTTTCTTGATGACATCAAGAATGCATTGACACCGTGAAGAGATGCATGATTAATTTTCACATAATTAAGTGAGATTTATGTTTAGCCAAGAGTTGATAAAAATGACAGATTTGGCAAGAAAAATTATTGAAATCACAGGCTTGCGGGAAAACACCAGTCATAAGGAATCGCACCCTTAAATTATGCTAAAAAAAAAATGAATTTGTCCCAGATTAATAGAGAGTGGTAAATGGTGATGTGCAGCCGCGCTTTCAGAATTGATATGTTGCTTATTTTGAAAATGCGTGCTTTTAGACTGCAGTTTCTCTGAGACAGTACACAACAAGCTCAATGTAGCCAGGCATGCGTCCAATTTGCTGTACCAAACCCTTTAGACTGTCCGCCTGCAGTTTGGAGACGTCTTTCGACGAAACGCACCTCTTGCGGAAGGTGAGCAAGTTCTTCAGGGAGAAGGATTTCTTCTTCTGCTTGACTGCGGGGTCGTAAAGGGCTACGTACTTGCTTTGCGTGGCGGCCGAGGAGGCAGCGGCCGCCTGCACAACCACCTGCTTGCCAGGCGAAAGCAGACTCGGCTCACTCTTGGTCGAACAAAATCGGCTTGAGGGACTTGCACACTCCTCAGAACTCAATTCACTCTGGAATTATAATTAAGACAAAAAATTTATCTAAAAAATTAGCAACTTGAGGTTTAGGCTAGGAAAACTAATTATTATTAATATTAAATGGTCTGTATATTTTATTATTAATTATTAATTAATACAAAAAATAAAACATTTTTAATGTTTTAATATAACATTAATTATTCAAACTCTCTAAAATGAGAAAACAATTTAAGTTGAATAGCTGCAAAAGTAAAAACAAATATTTTTGGATAAAATTCAACTATGATGAGAATAAAATTTTAAAAATTTAGTGTGTTTTTAAAATATATATTTATTTATATAATTAGTAGGTTATTAAAAAACCACGGCGGCCTGGTCCTTTTTAATATTAGTTTTTGCTACATTTAAAAAAAAATAAAAACTATTTTCCAATGCCAAATTTGGAGCAATATTTGTTTAGTGTTTTTACCTCACTAGAATGGCTTCTGTGCTGCTTGGTCAAGGCCCATTCGGACGAAGACCTGCTCGGTCTGCTTTTTCTTGAAGAAGCACTTGAGTCTTTACTCCTCACTCTGGTCAGTTTGCACCCACCCCTTTAATGATAATATGGATTATTTAATCAAATTTTCCTTAATTAACAGAGCAAATTAAGTACCTGCTAGGCTGAGGTTTGGGAGCCTCCACTTGAGAGGCGACCAGCTGGAAAGAGTGTTCCATCGAGTCATTAAGTCGGGCCAAAAAGTCTTTCAGTCTGCGCAGGCAAGTGGAAATTGCGGCGTGCTCTTGTGACGCCTGAGGTGTTGCCTGCAGAAATTGGCGAAGCAAAAGCACATAGCGTGGCATGTGCTGCACCGGGGTCAGCAACAGGGCACCCAGGTCCAGCCCAGTGCAGGCTGGGCGTTGAAGGCAAGACTGGAACAGACAATTAATGAAATAAATATTTAACACAAAAATTAAAAAAAAAATCAAAAGGTATAATTTAAATAAAATAATCTTTTTTAATTAAAACCATTTTTAATTTTTTTGTTAAACCTTTACCTTTAGGAACCTGGTGAAGGCTGGCGAGGCCTTGCAAAGTCGATGGAATGTCTGCACAACCTCGGGGAAGGCGTTTGCATAGCTAGTGTATAACCTCAGCACATCAGAGCCGTTCGGATCTGCCAAAAGCTTCTGCAAAAGGTCTCCGAGCTGAGAATGTTGGTCCCAGGTGCTGACTCTGGCCTTCAGAGAGGCCAGCAGGGCACTGTGTTCACTTCTCAGCTGCCAAACCTCTTCCGGAAACAAAGTGCTGAGAAACAAGTAAAATAAATTAAAAATATTTTTTTAAATACAAAAATAGTACTTGAGGTCAGTTTGCTGGACGATGCCGCTGGCCTTGAGGGGTTGTGCGAAGGCCTCCTGCATCGTCTGCAAAGTGCTGCAGTAGTCCTGTTCGAGGGCCAACAGCTCCTTGGCCACTTGCAGCCGCTGGGTGATGCACGTGCTGTCCATTTCGAGCAACTGGAGGCCACACTGCTGGCCGAGGGAGGTGCACAAACTGAGGCTTTTGGCCGCCGCCAGTGAAAGAGAACATTCTGAATCATCGTCGGGTGAATCTAGCAAAAATTATTAAGGGAAATTTGGTTAAAAAATTTTGCTTACAAAATCCAATAAATTTTAAGAACATTAAAATTAGATCATAAAATAATATTTTCTTAACAAAATTTAACATTTTTATTTTATAAAAATTTCATCAATTAAAATGATATTGAAAAAAATCTATAATTACAATGATTAGAAAGTTGTGTTCCGTTCAAATAAGAAAATAGCTAACTAAGAGATTAAGTTCAATTAATTACCAGTAAGGCCTGCAACATAATCGTGGACAAGGTTGGACACTTGCGTGTTTGGCTGCGTCGAGTTGAAAGCGGCGTGTGCTCTTTCTAGCAAAAGGGCGACCCCAGAGTCGCTGGACGGCGCGTCGCTCGAGCCGTTGCCTCGGAACCTGCGGATCACGTTTCCATCAATTTCATTTCGTATTATCTGATTTTGATGAACAAGGAAGAGCGAAATAAATGGGCAGCAGCAGCAGCATTAAACACTTTCTCTGTGGATGATTGTATAAAAAGGACTAGTTATATTCGTGTGTAATTGCGCCGGCAATCACGTGTAAAGGAATTCGCGTGTATTATTATTTTGCCGGTGCTATTATTACGTGCAATGAGCGCAGTTATGTAAGCCTGGCGGCGTTTTATGTTCGCCAAAGTGAAAGATCGCCTCTTGCACAAAATCCAATCTAGATTTTTGCAATATTTTTTTATCTATCCAGTGCTCAATCAGGCTTCTACAAATTTAATCTCGGTTTAATTCCAGCCTACGTTTTCGAAAGTTAGCAAAAGAGAGGAAAAAATCTGAAATATAGCGGCACATTATTCGTGTGAGTTTCAATTCTTTAAACTTTTAACGACGACGATCCCACCTTGCTGACACGCTGATCCTGTTTGTCTGTTGACGTTAGAATGTAAAAGTCGTGAGGAATGATTGCTGCATGCAGATTAAATAAATTATATACACTCTCATGTCAGGGTATGACTCAGGTTGTTGCCCTGGCGCTGTCTCGGGATTCCTCTCGCTCGGGTTTCATGAATGCGCTCTTTTGTGTGCCATACAATATAATGCGCGTTTAGATCAAATGCCATCTTCATAACGTAACTCTTTCAAAAGTATCATGTAAATTATTCTGTGACGTGACTTAAAAAAATAACCCTAGCGCTCTAATAAAAAATAAAAACAATATCTGCTAATGCATTTCAATTTAATTAATTCAAAATTAATAATTTAGGTTTTAATTTTACTAAAAATAAATAAATAAATAATTGAAAATTGAAATTTAAAAAAGTGCATAATTATGGGTTTCCAGCACACAATTTTATCTCATGATAATAACGAAGGCAATTTTTTTATGCGGGTCGCTGAGATTAATGATGCGCCTTTCACATCAATGTCAGCGTCGTATTACAACACTGTGAATTATACTCTTGAAAACAGTTAGGTGGTTTCCGAAACTCTCCATGATAAATGGCCAAAATGAAGGAAATTCTCAAAATAATTGGAGATTCAGTTGTGGGATATGCTTGGAAATGAATTAGTATAGAGTTTTGCTCTGACCTTATACATGCACCATTATCGAAATTGGTGTGTTTAGGAAGTGAGAAAAAGGGTCAAGACTCTTTAAGATTCGTCTTATTATTGGAACAAGGAAATCAACACATAAATCAGAATAAGACCGCAGTGTGGTTTTTCCACTCGGCGGCACAAAAATTAAAGACTTTCATCCTAGTTTGGAATTGGAGCTAATTTTTCGCCTATTTTCTATTTAACCGCTCTGGCGCGCGAGATGAGAAACAAAAGCGGGACCGATCAAGTGTGGAAATGAGCTTGTTAGGATTGTAATTGGACGATGAATAGACGAGAAGCAAAACCAGGGCGAGCCCAGTTAACAAAGTATATAATAATTTGGTGACAGTTCTTTCAGACTGACTGGAAAACGTGACTGGCCCAATTGGAAAAGTCTCCCGCGGCGCTTGGATATCGGGCAAGTTCATTTTATATTATTGACCACAATCTGCAGTCTGCGTGTGTTTGCACAAAAGAATTGAGGTCTAATTGAAAGGCTCTCACCAAACAAGGAGAGACCATGACACAACTTTTTATTCCCACAGTCCAGCTGAGAACAAAGTTTGGCAACTTTTTTAATATAACCTGCAGTCGTCATTAAGATTTTTTAAGGGAAAGGTGGGCTCAATTTATTATTTATTGAATATTAAAAAACAGAAACGTTGGAAACCTAAGAAAGAAATTTGATTTTTTTTAGCAAATTTGAAAAGTCCAAATACTATCCCAAGCTAACGTATTTAATTTGAAAAAAAAAAACATTTGTATAGAGTGGTAAAGAGATAAAAACAGCTCGCGCATTTTATAGTTTTGAATGGAAAGGAATTAAAGGCAACATGCAGTGCGCGGCGCTGATGCTCATCGAGCGTGTACCCCGTCTGGGTTTGCAGACCGATTGTTTTCGCTCAGAAGGTGTTAAGTTCGGTCCTAAAAAGGCATTCAATTTTGAGGTCAAACGTTACCCACTGACTCTCAATAGCTTCGACGCACACTGCACCTTTCGAGAGTAAATGGCAAACTGCCATCCGCCCACAAGCTGATTCAGTGAGTTGAAAAAATGAGCGTAAGAAAAGCCTTTCATCTCTCTCAAATGGTCATTTATCAGAATCACGATATCATGCTTTCGGCGGAGAACGTGAAGGAGTGGTTTTGCAGCAGACAGCATGATTTACAAACCACTCATACACGCAGGAATTTAATTTCTCTTAGAAAATAAGCTCTTGAAATAAATGGAAAAAAATCAGAATTTATAATTTAAAACTACTGTCGCAATAACTCAATTAATAACCTTCTCGTCTTCTTGATTAGATTACAGAGATTAAATACTCATTATTGACCTGATTATTTCAATTATTTACAGTGAATTGGATCAATATTTTGCAGCATAATATTAAATTTCTCTTTGAAATAATTCAACTAAATAATTTCAAATAATACATAATGTGTAATAACACTAGCTGATTTTTTTTATTCATTCAGCAACTGGTGTGGTTTTGCTGCTCTACAAGTCCGAAAAATAAGCGTGGAAATTTGATTCGGCTCGAAAAGTGTCCCAATCCGCATTCATCATAAATATAATGATGGTTTCACGGCACATTTCACACAACAAGCAGCGCAGTCTCGTCAAAACATGATTGATGCAAGGATTGAGAGATGAATGGCCGCATGAGAAAAGGAACCATTGCAAAAAATCTGCCTGCTGACAACTTAATATTCAACATATTTGTATCAACTTTCAAAATGATTTGCTCTCGACAGCTGCGCGAAATTTTTATGTGCTGAAAATCACTTCATTTCCTTTCTAATACAAAAATTAACTCTTTTTCTTCAGCCGGAAACAAAGGGTGATTTTTAAAAGGACTCTAAACGATTTTGAATATACTCAAGGTCCCGATTAACCCTTTCAATTGTGTGTTGCGGTCAGTTTTGTGCAATTGATACGCCTATTAGCAATCAAGTGCGTCTATCTTTCTGGGCCCCACCGCAGGCTTTGTCTTTCGTCTACCCTTGATTGAAAACCGCAAATAAAATGATAATTGCATCTCGCCGAGATCGGCCTCGGGAAGATAGAGAGACCATAAGCACCGTTCACACGGCTGAGCGAGTGGGTCAGGCTCTATTACTCACACCTGCACTTCATTTCATTCATTAAAACTAACTTGGTCATGCTTGTAAACTTGTAGCACTTGTCGTACCCATGCAGACCGGAATTTACTCGAAATTTAAAAAGTCACTTATTCTTGCATGCAATTAAACGGAATTTAGTTTCTGGTAAATTAATCTATCAAATGGATCGTAATTAAAGGAGAGCTACTCTCTGTACTTGTGTAGCTGTAATCAAACGAAATAACACTTAACTCGGCACAATTCATCGCCTTAATTAGAGCGCATTTCTTATTCTGGTGAAAAAGTCTGAGGGATTTTAATTATAATTACATACCAAAATAATGCTTGAGGTAGGCGAAAGTGCGACAAAGCCGTCTGTTGCCATGTGAAATGCTTTCTAATCTGCATTTGAAAACGTTTCAGACAAGCTCTCCCCATTTTTTAACTTGAGAACCAAAAATTTGCATATTTTGAGTGTTTCAATTCAACAGAGCAGAAAACGGTGCGAAACGATTTGTATTCATAATTCTTTCGAACCCGCTCTCTGTTATTTGTGGGTTAAACTAGACCTGGATGGAATTTAATAATTTTGCAGAGAAGGTTGTGCACCAGCAATATGCGGCCGGCCCGTTACGTTTTCTCGTTTGCTGCCGACTCTGGGGCACTTATGGACGGATGAGCGATGGGATTAACAGATAATTTGCTTGCTCCTCGTGTCGGGCATGTCCGTTATTGAAGTTAACGATATTTTCTTGCATCCTTGCAGTCAGCAGCGAGGTAATTGAATTCATCAAGATATACCCCAGCCGAGGAGAAATAAATTGTTTGTAAAGAAAATTGGATGCTTGTGAGACACACCTTTTCAATTATTTTTATTATAAAAAGGCTTCTCAACTAAATTTGCATTTATATTATTTGCTTGGTTGAATGGTTTCTCATTAAGATTTTTCATAAATTCATTTCCTCTCTTTACAGAAAATATTGTATATAGCGATTTGTAAATTGTGTGTCATTAGCCTGCTTATATTATATACAGAGAGATGATCGCCGGGAAGGAAAGAAACCATAATGTGTAAATTCATAAGGCTTCGCCAAATTAGAATCTAAAGCGTGAAACCTCATGGGAACCGAATGCAGGAGAGAAACGCGAGACTCAGTGCATGGGCAGCAGATTCCTATGCATTCAATTCGACGCCGACTGCATTATTTTAATGCCAAAGAGGCGTTCCTAAATTGTGAGAGAGACGAAAATTCGCCAGAAAAATGAGAGCACGCTGTTATATGAGGCGTGTATGAAAAAAAATTATCGACGAGTCATTGGAGTCTATGGGAACGGAGAAAGAAAGAAAGTGTTCTTTATGTAAAATGGCAGGGCACGCACATCGGAATGTTTTTGAGATTTCTGTTTCTAGAGCGGCGCCAATCGGCAATAATTGTGTCAGGGAATGTGACACTGTGATCGATCAGATTAAAAATGGGAAATTATTGACCTACCTTGCGGGTAGAGCTCCGCTGAGGAGCAGTTCGTGTGTCAGGGTGTCCCTTTCTTCGCTCAGGGTTCTGACGGCTAGTTCTAGATGTTCGACTTGGCCCTGAAGAGTGCGAACAGTGGCTTGCGTCGTGTCCAGCTCATTCTGAAAGGACAAAATTTATTGAGGTTTAAAAAATAATCAATAAATCGGAAAAAGCATAAGAAATTTTAATCAAATCAACTTGTTTATGGGGAAACTTGTCATAGCTTTTGTCAATAAAAAAAAAATAAATAAATAAAATTACTTTAATAAATAAAAAAAAAGCAATTGTTACCGATTGTTACAATAGGATAATTTGGTTCCTATTGTTTAGCCATTATTACTAAATTAAGTCTCATATTGCGTTTTTGGTAATTTAAAATAAAGTAAAATTATGCCTGAGAAATAAGACGGTTTGTTGGAAGAAGAAAAACTTAGTAGGAAAGTTGTGGCTAAGAAACGTGTACTTTTTTTGCAGCATTAAATAAAACTATTTAATTAAATGCCATAATTTAATTCACACAAACAAATTGTTTACTTAAATATAATTTTAAACATATTTACCTTGTAACTTATGAGCAGACGGAGAGCTTCCGCCAATTGCGTGTCGTCCTTAAGGTGTGTTGGACTAGAAGCGTCCTTTCGATGGTCTTCGATCAGTGACAATTTTTCTAAGGCGGCCTCGAAAGCCCCTTTCATTTCCACGACTGCACATTGCAGCTGAAATCAAACCAAAAGCAAATAAATAAAACACAATATATAACCAGATTGAAAAGACAAATGTCAAGATTTGATGCTTTTTTAATTCTGATCTGTTATTAATAGGGCATCTATTTATATTTAAGCAAGGACGCACTGCATTGGTGCATACAAATAACGAGCATGTCCATTTTTGCTGCCAACTTCAATTTAGGCCGAAAGGTTCTTTCAGTTTGTTTAGAAAATCAACACTACTAGGCGTTCAGCAGTAAATTTGTCTTACAATAAAATGCAGGGATAGAATTCACGCTCGAAAGCGCAGATCAGTGGCTGAGTGCACGCGTGGATTATTATTGTATTGCAGACTTAACAAAACTGAACGTCTGTCCGTGCAGTTTTCTCACGCCACTCAATTTCTTGTATACGAAACACTCTCTGCTGCATTAATTTCTTTTGTTTTGCGCAACAGACTGAATATCCTTATACTCTGCTGGACTTTCAGCATTTCTCAATTTCCTTTCAATCTGAATAAAAGAAGAATAAAGGCTTGTAATTAAATTTAAGTAAACAAATAAATAAATTAGAGAGGAGACAGTCATTTACTTTTAGTCAAATTTGTTTATTTGTTAGTTGTATATATATTTGCATAAAATACATTTCATTGAATATTCTTTTTTTCTATTACTTACAAACCACTAAAAAGCGAGAAAATATTACTTGAAAACAAGAAATGAAGCAAAATTGTTATTTAATTTTATATTTCATTTATCTTTTTTTCTTTAAAATTACAAAATTCATTTCGTACTTAAGAATCATGATGCTGTATTCACTATTTTACATGTGTATACACAACACTTTTAACAAATGAGTTCAGGGCTTTATTAAATTGACAATCAGAGTTTATTTATTGGGTGTGGGTGCGTCGTTTTAATACAGGCGTCAAGTGCGTTTTTTTCTTTCTAACCGACTCTGACGTCACCCCCAACGATAAATTCATTAGCCAACACCTGCTTGTGCGTCGTCGATTCGTTTTATTGTTGGCGAATTTGTGCAGTGCAACACCACATGGCCGATTCAGGACCACAGCGAAACTGAAGCGGCAAGCCGCGTGTTCCGCGCTTCAAAAGGAATCAAACAGACATGCGAACTTTCATGTTTTGAAAACAGCGCGACTATTTGCAAATAGTGCGTTTGCATCGTCATAGCAACAACTCTAATTGAAAATTAGCACCAAAAATCATGGAATTGTACTTTTTGGATTAAATATTTCCATTTTCTCTTAAATTTTTGATGGTTTCATTTCTTTATTTATATAAAAAATTATGCATTTACTAAAGATTTTCGTTCTTTTTAAATTTTATCAATTATATAAAATTTTTTAAGCATTAAAACTTAAAATCTTTAAACAAGTGAAGTTTCCTGAACTAAAAGAAGAAGTAAATTATTAGATAATAAGCTATTTAGATTGAACAATTTTATAAGTTTTTATCGGTTTTATGACTTGTTAGTTGTAAGGATGTATAAAAAACTAATAAAAAATTAAATATAACCGGCCCTTAATTTACACTCCTCTTCCAAAATCCCGTTCAGGTCCATTTAAATTTAATAGCTCATCTCATCGCTAGACTCTTAACAGTTGACTGCTCATTCATGATACATCTTGAACATCCTTTAATCTTCACATGTACATCTTGTTTGTTATAGCGGCGATGGCAAAAAAAAAACTGGTCTGGTTTCCCACAAACTGGCGTTGTGCGTTTTGGGTTCAATTAAATTCTAATAAGGCAGGCCTGTGTATTTTTCCCTTTGAATATTTCATCGCAGTGATCGCCCCGACTGGCACAGAGTGTCAGTTATAATACAGAGATGTGGTAGGTGGGGTTTCGAATAAACGTGATGTCGCTGGCCCCGCGCAATTACCCCGGCGGCACTCTCTGCTATGCCTCCGTCCCAACTGTACTTATCAAAATTATACATCATTACGCTGCATTTCTGTAAAGATTGGTGCACAGATATAGAAGCACAGCTGCAATTCCAAAACTTTACCGCTGCGTCTCTCGTTGATGAAAAAAAAATGATTTATTCGCAGAGGTAATTCATTTATTATATATTCTCACGACTTGAATTGAAAGGTAAAAAGTGAGCCTGTCAGCTTTATTTGTTTTGGAGATCAGCGAAAGAGCCGTGAGGCTTGAGGAAATGTTCAATTAGCAGGGAATGCATGGAAACCAACAAAAAACGAGACACGCCATTATTTTCTTTTCCTATATTATAGCGCCGTTTTTTTTTACCATTGCGTGTGCAATTTGCTCAAAACCGCGACTGGTCCTTCAGGGAAGGTTGAATTGTGATACCATCATCACGTTCGGGGAGCACGAAATTTGCATATAATGATTGCAAAAAAATCTATAAAAAAAATTGCATAATTTAAAACAAGAATTATTACTTGGAGAGCAAAAAAATGCATTTTGCCATTTTACAGCAGACTTTGTGGCAATGTTCTATTCCATCCATCAGGTGGGTACTGCTCCAGAAAAATAATCGAATTCCCGTGAAATTGTTCACAGTGCACAGTGAATACAGGTTATCAGTGCAAAAAGTAGTGCGTTGCCAGAGAAATGCGGAAGCCGAAAGGTGAAACAATGCACCTGGGTGAATAAACAGATAATTTATGCCTGAATTCAAAATCCGTGCAGAACGTCCTCTTCTATCGTAAAAACAAAAAGCTTTGTTCAAACCCATAGTGTTCACGGCTAGCGGTGCCACAAGAAATAAAACGAATTAAATGAGACAAAAACGCGGCGCAGGAAGAGAGGCCGCTCACTCGAAAATAAATAGACGGATCGGCGCGAAAAAAGCAGCTAATTCCAACCTGCTCTCGTGCGGTCATTGTTGTTGTTGTTTCGCGGCGTTTACGTGGTCAAAGAACTTTTTGCACGCAGCTAGCCATACCTTATTAGCGCATTGAACAGGAAAGTCAAGCAATAATATCAACCTGTTTTGCTCAAGCCTTCAGTTGATTTGGCCTTTTGAAACAATTTCTTCAAGTTTTTAAAAATCATGCTTTTTTTAATTTTTTTATAATTTTCAATTAGAGAAAGAGTACAATCTATTTTTACTTGAAATTTTTCATTATATTATAGTCACGGTATTTTTTTATTTTTACATATTCTTCTCCCAAACACAAATCGTATAGTTTAACATAAAAAATAAACAATTTTTTCGTTTCTGTAATTATCACTAACTTTTGAATCAAATGCAAAATTTATTATCGAGGGCAAAAGAAAGGAAACAAAAGTTTATTTCCCCTGTAGCTCTGCGCACAAAAAGCAGGGTGTTTTCTGATATAACTGTTTTCGTTCCATCCACACACAGACACGCCAAAATGCGTTTCCAGCACCGGCACGAAAGGTCGATGAAATCCGATTTGATATTGTCTCGTTTGTTGCTGGTCATGATTGGGAGGATGGGGAAAAAGTGTGTGACTCATTGTGGTGGTTCCTCTTGCGTAAAAAGCACGCCTAGCATTTTGTCAACTCTCAATAACAAAATGAGATTCAAACAAAAAGGACAACTTGGTGCCACTTTCCTTGTGTATTGATTGGGATAGATTTCCTTGCTTTTGTTTTTCCAATTGAACTAATTTTAAGAAACGATCGAATTCCGTTCAAAAACAATTGGAGAAAGCTGTCGTTTTTGTTCAAATTCTTCTACGAATTTTGAGGCCCGCGGGTGGGCTCCTTCTCATTAGATAGAAAATAAATGGCCAAAATCAATCAGCGGAGATGAAAAGTGTTTTTGTGTGTGCCATGTGAAAGGATGATAATTATCTGTTTTGATCGAAATTTGCAGCAACAAAAGTCTGGGTTTTTGTGTGTGTATATATTTGTGTTTGAAAAAGAAACTCGGAGAAAAGTGCATTATTATACATTTCACCTCGCCAGACTTCTTGACACTTTAATAACGCTTGTGTGCATTTGGATAAAATTTCTTTTCCTCGCGCGACATCAAACAAAATTGCTGGAGCGCATTCTCTTTTATTTTCACAGGTGCATAGAACGCGAAGACCTGATTCTCGACGCAGATAATAAATAAAAGTGCATCGTGAGCCGTTCATTGTACTTCTGTGTGGAGCAGGGACACTTAGCATGTTTCTCAAAAGGGTCAGGGAAAGGCCAAAAGCAATTATAATCAGCACTAAAGGAGCGAACATTTATATTTTATACTGCTACAGCAAATCAAACTCATCCTGCTCTCAGGCTAGAGAAATTTTAATCAGTGAATCTGCGAGTGAAGTGAGTTTTGAATTGAGCGTTTTTATTAAAATTTAGGCCAGCCATGAATTTGAACCGTCTTGTAACATTTAAATCAAGTTAGAAATGTATACGTTATAAATTTATATACAATAATAAACTATGGTGATTTGGATTTAAATTCGGCTTTTCCTCGATGGGTTTTTGTGAGTTTTTATTGTTTAAGAAAAACAATATCTTGCTCTACATGTTTCGGCTGCAGCCATAATTCATGAGCTGTGATATCATTTTGACAAGAATTAGTACAAAAATAAATATTTTTTTCAAAAATTTTTCTTTCAAAAGTTACAATTTTCCGTAAAAAAAAATGTAAGCAGCTGAAACATGTAGAGCAGGATATTATTTTTTTCTTAAACAATAAAAACTCACAAAAACCCATCGAGGAAAAGCCGAATTTAAATTCAAATCACCATGAATCAACCCTCGATCGTAAACTTCTAATACAAAAATAATAAAGTAAATAAATTAAAATATTTTTCTAAACACAATTGTTGGGGGAAAAAAAACAGATCTGAAGCTTGGTGTGTTTTCTAAAAAATAATAAGCCTGCTGAGGATCACGAGACAAAGTAATTATATGGCACGGTGCAGACGAATCAGTTCCAGCAGCACATGGCAAATCGATTACGATGCAACGGCGGCGGCCGTGAACTGCCCAACGGCCGCACTTTTTCAATGTTCCACGGACGCGAAAATCATAACGTCCTCTTTCTTTCACCATCATCGAATTTTTATATCATTGCTTCTTCTTCCGAGCACCTGCTACTTCGGCAGCAGAAGCCAGAAAAGTGAAGAACGCTTGTGTGTCCATTATACATATATCTGTTTCATTATTTCATGCAAACTGATGGTAAAAAGAATCACCAAGCGAAAACATTGCCCTTTTTAAAGGCAGACAGACACCGACTTCTACTTCCCTCTTCCGACTGCACCAATCTGCAGCAATATTAAATTTCAAAACTCGATTTACTGAGAACGGTCTACGCCCTTTTCACATGGAATAACTTAATCCAAGTCGTGCTTGGACTGGACTATAAACAGACCGCAAGCAAGAGACGAATTGAATAGAAAACGAACTCTGCAAAAACGGTTTAGCGGTTTTTATTTTGCGCAGGAAACTGCATTTTTTTTTTAAATTATGAAGCTACTTTAAGCTTTAAATGCTTCTAATTTCACGCATTGCGTATCCATGAAAAATGTCCTATTGTTGTTTGATAATGCAAGGTGGAGTCGGATAGAGTTTTTATATCTGCGGCGACGTTGAGTTATTACCAAAAAATTTACTTTAAAGCAGGAAATCATGTAATTTCTTTTGTAATCTGGTACTATAAAGATGCATTTCAAACTGAAGTGCGCTTTTAGACATTTATTATAAGCTTCCTGCATTGGCTACATAAAAATGGGTATTATGGCGCGTATTGCGTCTGCGGTTTACCATAAAATTATAAATAATTTTTCCTATAAGAGGAGAACTTCACCATTCGCTGACTGGAAATGGTATAATTTGGGTGAGATGGAGAGAATAAAAGACGCGAAGTTATCAATCAGATAATTATATTACTGTAATTCAACTCAAATTCCAAATTTTAACTATTATTAACCTACTTTATTGCAGTTAAATGATGTAAATTAATTTTTCAATGCAATATAAATTATTGTTTGCTTCTTTTTTTTGTTTGTTACCATTTTCTATTTATCTTTCACAATCTAAATTTTTGTTTTCGTAAAAAAAGGGACCCTATTTTATTTACAGTTCAGAGATTATTTCCTCTGGCGGTTTTTTTTGCAGGAGTACACAGACAGCATTATCAACTCTCTCAAGTAGGATAACTGTGAACCTGCTGGTTTTTAGCCAAGTTTCGAAATGCACATATGAGTGTGTGTGTTTAACAAAGAGAGCAGAGCAAGCTAGATTTATTTATATGCGCGGAGAGTGGACCACAGGTGGTTGCAGGACAAGAGTATGTAGCGGTCGGTCTATCCGACCGGGAGGTGAACGGACCAGTCGGCCGCGCAAGAGAGAATAATTTGCAAAAGAAAGGCCTGCCAATATGTTATAATGCAACAGGAGAAAATTTCGCGATGAATAAATTGCTTTATTGTGAGGCAGCCAGCTATGGAAAATGCATTGTGCTTGATTTCTGGTGCAAAAATATTATTTGCTGTCAAAAGGAAAAGTTAATCAGAAAATCGGCAATCAACGCAGCTGCCTTCACCATTTCGCGATCGACTGCGTTTTCACTTCTTATCGCCCCGACTTAATTTCTCAATCGGCAACGACGCGCCGTTTTCCGAGAAAATACACCAAAGTAAAAAGCTCGAACGCATTTCGCTTTTTTCCGTGAGCACCCCATTGTGTAATGGGGAAATGACCTTCATGGCTTGCCCACCAAAAAAACATCTCTCTCGCATCACAGATTCGTTTTTGATCGAGGAGCAGTCAACTGGTGCGTCTCGATGAGAAGAAGGAATCCCGAGAATTATGCCCAAGATTTTATTTCACGCTTGCTTTTTACAAGGGGAGCAACAAAGGGCCTTGCTTAGACGGACATGGTGACGGAATTTTCGTGCTTTTTAATGGAGTAAAAACACTGATATTTCCACCAACGTTCATCGAACTCTGTTAAAACTTCTAAAGTGTTAATTTGTAAAAATTAATTTATTCTTGCCTCTAATATTCCATTTAATAGCACAAAAGAAATTTTTTTAATTTAGTTAGAATCTAAAATTTTTGTCAATTTCTTTACGGATTTAAAATTAAAGGTATTTCAATTGCACCAAAAATAATAAAATAAAAATGCGTCTTTAAGCCCTTGGGGGAGAGCCAAATGAAAATGAAAGGAGCGATGGTCCACATCAGATTAGCATAGCCGGCAAACGAGATGATATGAAAGTTGGAGATGCAAGACTTTTACTCTGGCGAATCAAGCTCTTAAATGGACTTGAAATAATCGAAAGTAAATTATCGCCGGTGGGACTCGAGTGTGTGTTGATGTGTTCGCGCGCCTCCTATTAAAAGTAAATTTTCGCCTCGCGTTCCGAGAAAGAAAAGAAATCATTGATTGAGAATTCAAGCAGTTTTGAGAGCGAAAGGTACAAACGTTTAATAGCGACACTTAAAAATAATTTATAAAAGAAATTGCTCATCTGACTGTTGCAGCCAGACGGGATGACTGACCTCAGCAGCCTCACAGCAAGTTTTTATGGACCAGAATTCTCGTCAAGACCAATTATCAGTCATTAAAGAACAATGCGGTTAATCTTCTGTGAAAGGCGTCGAAAAAAGTTAAATAATAATATTATTAATTCAAATCTTTTGGTCACAAGAAACTTTTTTTAAATTTTTGGTACTGGAGACGAATCAAATTTTTTATCGTAACAGGGTTTGTCGTAACATTTATTGAAAATGAAAGAGACGAAATAATTGGGTGAGCATGAGAAAATCGAGTACCCTCTCTTTTCTGGCGACAATCGAAACTTGATATTTTCACTCTACATGTTTTCACCAGACTTTGAGGTGTGTGCATGGTATCAATTACCTTAAGGAAATTATGCTTACCCCCTGCAACACAAAAAGTGTCCAGCAGACATGCAAAACAGAGCCAAGGGTTCGCAAACATTATTAGTGTCAAGTGTTGCCTGCTGACCTCTGATGTGCATTAGTAATAAACACGGAGAATTTGCGGTTTGGGTTAAGGCTATGGAAATTCAGCATTCAAGTAACTCCAGTTGTTACTGAAATACTGTGTAAAATATATAATAAGCAATCACTTATTTTATATATTTCTCTAGAAATAATTCAAATAATATGTTTTTTTTTATAAATAAAATTTCAAGCAGATATATATTAATTGGTTATACAATATAATAACGGAAGAATCTTAATATTATCTCCTGCAGGAATTTTTGCAGAATTCACTGTAAATAAATAGAGGCGTGCCTTGTCGTATCGTCGTATCTCATAATCTGAGTCAGATATAAATAAGGGATTATATAAAATCGAGAAAACAAATTAATACCTCCTTAAACTAAATATTTCCAATAATTAAACCATTTCAAAGGAGATTTATAAATCCATTTTGAGTATTCATAGACAAAATTAACATTGAAATTAAATTCAAACTCACATCTTTGACTTGCTGCTGGAAAAGTTCCTGTTCCTCGCAAGCTAAGTCGTCGTCATCCAGATCATCGTCGAGGTAAGTCAACCCTCCAGCCAGGTCTTCTTCGCTGGACATGACTCCCGTTGGCAACGTTTAGCAGTTTCCACAGTGATCAGTCAGGTAGGTCCATGGAGCGTTTCATTCAGATGCAACGACCGCGAGTGGTGCTGCCTCGCACTCCACTGGTGCTCGCGGCAAAAGGAATGTGGCTTTTGCCAGGCACTTGGATGATCGCGCCACGGCAGCGGGAAGCAGGTGTGCGGCTGACATCTGGCGGCGAAAGCACAGGAAGTGCGAAAACAACAGCAAAGAAGCCCCCAGGGAGAGCAGGGCAGTTTGGTTTTTAGTAAGAATAAAAGCTAGGCACACACTAATTTTAAATCTTACTGTAAGTCTTATTCAATGAGAATGGACAGAGATACAAAAATGCAATCAAAAGTAAAGTACAATGTTGGTACTTACAATATGTACAGATCTAATAATGGTATTATAATGCACAGATCTCAAAAGATATATTTTCCAACTGAGGGTGGAATGAAGAAAATTTTCAAAGTACGCTTCGTCTCACGGAAAATAAAAGAACTTGGAAGAGTAAGAACACTAGACTTCCGTAATGTTTCAAAAGAATTTACAGCGTTTTGACACAAAATTTCCACAATTGGGAATTTTTCTTAGCTGACAGTTATCACGTCATTAACAAACATCGGTCCAAATTTAAAATTTGCCACTATAGAAAAAAAATTGATATCCTTTAAAAAATGTAATTCCAGTTAACTTTGATAGAACACCACTTTCAGTTTTAGCTTAGCGAAAATACTGAACAATCATTAGCCAGGAGAGTACCTGCTTCACATTATCAATAGACACGGAAATAACAGCGGACTAGGCTTTGTGTCAATTTTCCAGGTCCTGAAAAAACAAAAAAATCACAACATGAGAGTCTGTCCTTAGTACTTGACATAATGAGTCAATCTACCGTGGGGTCACAATCGGCACAGTGCCAGGAATAGCCCCTTCTTTTGGGGGATTTTTTGAGAGGCGGTTCGAGGCAGCAAAAGTGGAAACACTTTCTGCACTCGTCACACCTAACCAGGTCGTTGTTGCTTCCTGTGTCGCTGCATTTGTCGCACTGAGTGAGAAGGTCCTGCTCTGGCTTGATGCTGTTTCTTCTGCAGGTTGTGTGGTTTTCGGACCCGACCTTTGGGTCCGAGGTTGACTCGAACTGGGTAGACATCAACTGGGCAGTGTATTGACCAGGCATGATAGGTTTTATCTGAAAATTAGAGGTTTGAAATCTACAATTAAAGCTCAAAAAACATTTCCTACGGTAATTTTTATTCTCGGCTGATCCTCTCCACCTTCGGCCAGGTGCTTCTTCTTCCTGTGCTTTTTCTTTGGCTTGTCCTCCTTGTCCTTGCGCTGCTTCTGTTTGTCCCCGTGATTCCTCTTGTGCTTCCCGCTGTGCTCTTTGTGGTGCTTTGGCTGTTTCTCTTCGTGCTCATTTGGGAGTTTTTGATCTTCTCCTTCGTGCTTGACAAGATCATTGCATGTATTTTCATTGATCGGGGCGTTGTTGAAAACAGGAACAGGAGGACCAAAAATTGACTCGGTTTCTGCTTGGTGGTTTTGATTCTCCAGAGCAGGAGCAGCCACTTTCCGCTGCTTTCCTCCGTGCTCCCGATGCTTGTGGACCTTCATTTTTCGCTTCTTGCCAAGTTTCTTCACTTTCGGGACGGGCGCCGATGACGGCGCTGAAGGGTCAATTACGGCTGCAACTTTTTTCTTTCTTGGCCGTTTCACATTTCCGTCCTAGAAAATTGTACATCGAAATAAGTCCTTTTTTTTGCTTCAATAAACAAACCTTTTTGGGAGTCCCTTGACTACGACGGAGTTTCCGAGGAGCTTCTGGATCAAGACACTCGGGTTCTGACCCTGAGCTTAATTTATCACAATCAGTACATTGCCTGCAAATTAAAATGTTCAACTTCCGTTGATTAGCTCTTAATTTTAAAAATTACCAGCCCATGAGCTTGGTCTTCTTTGGCATTCTCGTGAGAGGTGGGTTGAGGCAGCCAAGGTGGTAGTGCTTCTTGCAGGTATCACATTTGGCCAGCAAGTGTTGATCCTTCGTTGAGCGACACGCACCACAATCGTGAAGAGTCACAGAGGCAGATTGAGAAGCGGACTGAGTGAATGACTGAGAGGCGACTGCGGCAACTATTTTGGAATCGACACATTAAAAGATGGTTGATTTATGCCATTCAATATTGGCTTACTTGTTTTGTGTTTTGTTGCATTCTCCTTACGTATTGGCGACAACACAACCTGAGGCTGAGCTAGCAGTGTGGAGGGATCAGGAGGTAGTTTTTTGCTAGGGCACACGCTCAGAATCGCTTGGCGCAGCGCTCTGATGTTGCCCAGCAGCTGCTCATTACTCTTTATCATGCTTTGGCGATCTTCGTCAAACTGTTTAAATATACACTTTTTATAATTAATCAAAAACAACTCAAAACTTTATTCATACTTTGTTGTATTTGGCTTGCACTTCCTTCTCTTGCTCCGAGTATTGGCTATTTGTCTTGAGCAGTTCTTGAAGTTGACTCCTCAGGCTTGTCATTCGAGCATTCCTATCCAAATAGTATGCCACATACTCCACCCTACAATGTGTTTATTAAGCACAACAAAAACACTGATTTTATAAAATTATTTACGTGAAGGCTGGAGGAATGTGCCACTTTTTCCTAGCGTCAATGATGGAGGCAATCTGAGCATCTTCCGTCTCCATTGCCTCAACATTGATGCCCATAATTTCACTTTTCCTTAACAGCGAAATACAAGCCGAGAAACTTGTGGTAATGAGTCTGCTCATCTTCTGAGTTGGCACTGATAACAAAAACTCAACTTAAGAAATGCATAATTTAAGCTTAAAATCTTACTCCAAGGCTGAGGTCTAGTTTTCTTGTGTGCTTTGTACTTGTGGCTGTGGCCGAGCAGTTTGCGTTTGATCCGCCTTTGTTCTGCAGTTTCTTCAGTCTGGCTCTCAAGCTCCAAGTGTCGTTGTCTCATACGCATTTGCACTGCGAGCCAATTTCGTCTCCTTTTTCTGTTTTCACCGTTTTTAAAAACATTATTATTCACATAAAAAAAAATTCCAACCTTTTCAAGAATTTGTCTGTGTGTTGCTTGCAGTGTGCGTAAAAGGGATCGGCGTGTTCAAACTCATCACTGTGAGCTTCAGCCAGGAGACCCTCTCGCTGAGCACTGAATTTTTATTTAAAATTTGTATGAAAAGAAATCATTTGAAAAATCAGATGGGCTGACCAGGTAACATGGAAGGTTTCCCGACACATTCCAGCGTCGCAACCAATGGTGATTCCAGTGCGCACAAATCGCTCATCAGGACACAATGTGCAAGGCTTGGCGCCCCATTTGTTGTAAGCCATTTCAAACAAAGTCACATTTGACAGTTTGTCCACCTCGCCGAATGCCACTCCCGGCACATACAACCCGCAAACTAAATGCACCCACTTCCCAACGTCTGTCTCCTTAAATATTCCACCTGCAGAAATAAATTTGCATCAAAGGAATGTGAGACAATATTAATTCAATATTTAGGAGAAATATTCTTTAAAAAAAATTTAATGTTCGGTCTTATCAAAGTTTATAATCAGCTGGCATAGGAAAATAACTTGTTATTGGTGAAACCAGTTTTCACCAGATTTTCCTTCCACAACTGGCAATGAATTTTTATTTTGAAATTTTAGAAAAAATAAAGTAGGAGCTGATCAAATTTTGAGCTGTACTGTTGGTTATTTATTGTAGTTAGAACTTTCCAGAAAAATTACTGCCTGAAGTTGAAGAAAAAAAATTATTTAAACTTTACCTTTGTTGGGGCAAAGCTCACAGCACGGGTCGGTAACTCCTGCCTTGCAAGCCTCGCAAAACCATGGCTCGGTGGAACACGAAGAGGCAGTACTTGATACACTACATGTGTCGGACACTCCGTAGCAGGCTGGAGAATTAATTTTGTAAAAATTTATATTAAAACTCAATTTGAAGACAACCTTCATGAACCATGACGCCGCAGCTGTCACACTCGACTATTTCATTCACAGAATCACTTCTGTCCCCTAAGCAAGCACAGCACACCATAATTTTGCTATAATCCACAGCGGGTCCTTTATGCTGCTCTGCCTTGGCCAGAAGTTGAGCTCCGGAGATGGAATCGTCAGCCTTTTTGCCATCAAATCCAATATCAACTTCATCTTTATCGTCAGAGCCATTCTCGTCGTCAGATTCATTTCCATCTGAATTTTGACATTTCTTTTAATTCCAGAAGATAATGTACTCTGCGTCATTTACCACTTTCATCATCATTAGAATTAATCGAATCGTCTCCCGAGTCATTATGGTCTTCAATCCGGAAGTCGGAGTCGTCAGAACTCTCTCCTAAGTCAAAGTCCAACAAAGGATTTTGCACTGGCTTGACTTTCCTCTTCTGCGGGTCTCGTTCGACTGAAATGAAGAGATCTTTTAAGAATTATTTACAAAAATGTATTTTTTTTTTAACAATTTTTTAAATCCCACGGAATTTGCAGAAAATTGCCCATTTTTTTAATTTTGGAAACTAACAATTTAAAATTATGTAGGGAAGAATTAAAAAATTAAAATTCTCATAATTTTTCTACAGAAATTAATACGCTTGAATGTTCAGAAAAATGGTTTTTCATTCATAATTGTCGGCGACTCGATCAAAGTAAAATCTCAAAGTGCGAACGTGTATTATTTCCGCAACCCCTTTATTTATCCAATCAAATTGACACAGAGAGCGATGTCAGAATTTAAAAAATTCTTGTGGTTCGCCAACCTTAATGTTAATTTAGTCGAGTTAAAATTAAAATTTCATAATTTTATGCGTGTGCCGTCGTAAAAAAATCAATTATTCAACATGCGGTGCGGGCGAGAGCGAGGACAAGGGGTGCCGGCTGGCTGGCTGGCGGCTGGTCCATGCAAGGCGAAGTAGCGCCGCAAACCGCGGGAGGTGCAGCCGCTTTCTCGCGCAAATTCGCGTGCGGCGCCGCGTCCATCGGCACCGACGTGTCCTTTGGAGGGTCGTGACTACCCTCGCAACGCCTAAAGGTTGCATTTCGAGCTACTTACCCATCGTTTTAATGAGGAAATTTACTTTCCCAGACTCCATGATGCGAGCAATGCGTGCAGAAAATTGCGAGTCTGTTTCAAGGGCGGCGAGATGGCGCTGCGGTCGAGCGAGCGTTTGCGAATTCGCTCGTGAGGTGGCGAGCCGTTCGAATTTTGGCGGCAAGTGTACGAACAGGCCTGGAAGATGGCATTGGAGGCGGAGGGATGGATAAACGGCGAGAGAAAATGATCAAAACAGGCACCGCAAGCAGATGATCGGCTCGCAGGACCGCAATTTGCCAAATTCTGACGGCATGACAGCCTCCCTGCAGTGAATCGAGCCGCGGCGAACCGAAGGGCGATGGACGCGGAGGCGAGCACCGGTGTCGCCGTTTCCGTGGTGCGCCACGGAAGGACGGTGATGCAGGAAATGGTCCTGCGGGAACCGTCGCCGAGCACCAGCAGCAGCACGGCCACCATGGGCCCGCCGGGTGTCGCGATGGAGACGGTCACCCACGAAATCACGCACGGTGAGTACTCTCTCTGTTTACTTACACACGCACCAGCCGCGCCCCTACTTTCTTTCTTTCCCTCGGTGCTCCTACATTTGACACCATCCGTCGCATGTAACGTACTTATGGTGCCGCTCAAGGTCGTTCGCGGCCAGTGCGAAGAGAGATGCACACGCGTGTCACACGATCGGTGCCCAGGTGTGGCTGTTTTTCTGCACTCACCTTTGAAGCGATGCGCGTGAAGGTCTTGCAAAAATTATAATAATATGAATGATTTTGTTATAAAATGTTAAAAATTGCAAACGATTTTTCATTTAACAATGTTAAGTTATTATTTCATTTATTTGGAAAATAACAAAGTTGATTGGAAGTAAAATAAAATGTGAATGTATCGATTATCAAAAATATTTGTTATATAATTTTTACGTAATTATTATCAAGACTCTAATAAATAATGCAAATTATTTTCTTCTTAGATTGCATTGGTTTTAAATTCCGTTTAAGTACAAATGATTAAATAAATAACCAAAAAAATAAATTATAAGTAATGTTTTAATTATTTAAACGTATTAATTTTTAAGCCTTTACAATTCTAACTGAATTTCCACAATTTCTCGGCCGCAGATTTGTTCAAAGGAAGTCATAAATTGCTCACTCTTTGGCTTGCAAATTGCAAAACACCTGAAAAAGAATCCTTGAATTACCACTTTAAATTTTCACATCTCGAATCGCAGCATTATAAATTTTAAAATTTTCAACAAATTCAAGGAGACTTACAAAATAATTTTAACGAGGCTGTACAAAATTGCGGTTGGAATCGGTGGCAGCCGCACATCAGGTTTTCCGCATTTCTTTCCTCTTATCTCTGTTTCTCGCCGCGGCGACTTTTGTCTAACCTGAAATTGTGTTTTAGAATTTCGGTTGGAAGTGCATATTCATTTTTTATTAATGTGTTGGCGCAATTTGCATTTACACGCAGCGTCGTCGCACGCGTGGGCTGATGCGCCTCGCATATTATATAAAAAAAGAGCAGTTGACGTGGGCGAAGAAATGGGAGTGTTGCGGCCACTCCACCCATTCATGCCTTCTTTCGACCCTGCTGCTTTTCTTGAGGCCAAGATCTGCTCGGGAGCTCATCTGGAGCCGCGGCCGTTGCAGGGGAAGAGACCTTCGCCGTTTTTAGCTTCTGTTTGCAATAACAACGCGGCCTATCTACCTGTCTCTGAAATTCCGCTCTGATGTCTATTAAAGCGAGGAAAATCGCTCTTTTCGCAACAGAACAATCTTGAGCTGTTGCCAACTCTGATAAAGATGTATTTCAATCTGCGCGCAATCAGATAAAAGGAAACCCCGGTTGGTTATTCACCCATCTACACTATGCGAAGGGCGTTTTCAAATAGACCTAATCTGCCTGTTGCTCGTTTAGTACCAGATGGTCTTCCAGTTTTGCAATTTTCTTGTCAAGTTGCATTAATTTTTGTTCCTCGTTTCAAATATTCAAGTAAAGTTTCTTGCTTGAACCCGATTGAAAAGGGTTTATAAAATCCTTTTAATTTTTAATTAAATAACGAAGTTGATTGAGATGAAGTCAAAATAAAATATAAAATTAATCCGGAATGGAAAATAATGAAAATATCAAAGGAAGTTGTTTTTATTTCTCATTGAATTTTGTGTTTATTTATTTTCTTGCCTGGAAACGTTAAAATTGGCCAGCGCTATGAACAATTAATAATCTAAAAATCTATAAATTCCAGCAAAATATCACTAATTAGCCGTTTTTTCCAAAAAATAAACAATCCAATATTTTATTTTTATTTTCTTTTCAGAAATCGTTTCACTGCAAAAACTACAGGTCAATTAAGAAAATGTCATGGCCTCATTTTTTCTTACAATTAGCTCAATTTTTCAAGAAGGTGTAGAGCAAAACTGCTCTTTGTTTTCTATACGATTTATTTTGCAACTGTCCAGCAACATAAGGTGTGCGCAGATTCGTGCTGAAACTGTGTGGAGTACTGTTGGTATAACAAAACAAAGCACTGAAGTGAGCATCTTATTCTTCGACACTAAGTAGAAAAGAGATAATTAAAAAATTAAAAGATCTGTCTGTTGACTTGGTGTAGAATAGGAAATTAATATTCAAATTAAATTTTCACAATCAATTAATTGATTAAGGTGTTCCCCCCCCCATAATTATTCAATTTCCCCTCCTCCACTCTTTTAGATTTATTTATTTATTACTTGATATCAGTTGAAATTTTGTCTGATCCTTATATTTTATTGGATGATAAAAAGTGACAAAGTAGTTTAATTTTTAAAAGAATTATCATTAAAATGGTATTTAAAAATTAATATTACATTTTAATGATTGAAACAAATGAAAAAAAATTAAAAAAAGTAATTTTCTTTGAGAAAATTCATGTGGTTGTAGATTAAAGAGGCTATAATTATGTCTTTTTCCGTAGCTTTTTCTTTTAAAATAAATGTTGAATTCAAGCTTAATTTATTATTTAAGTGCTCGCCCATTTTCCCATCTTCAATCGAAACACGTCGTGTCGCGTGCGGACAAAATACGGAAAACATCTCGTTTCCATGTCGTATTGATTGGGGGCGGCCGGCGTATTTTAACCGTGTATGTTGCGTTCAGTACGCACTTCTTGGCCCTCAACACATTATTTTTCCGGCGATGCAGATGCCATAACTTGGCGTGGCGGCGGCACCAGAATAAGAAAATCAATAAACCACCTGTAGACGAGTCCACTTTGATTTCGCTCGTCCTGCACTCTGGCGTGCCCGATCGCATTATTATTATACAGATGCTTATCTTTTTCTTTACTTGTAAATTACTTTATTGCCGCGCGCTTTGAACATTCCTCCGCGCCTCCGCAGAATTGTATTCACTCACAGAAAAGGAAAAGGAAGGGCAATTATGCGTTAAAAGTGCTCACAAGAGCTGTTTGATCGTTATCTTTTTTCTCTCTTGGAAGAGGTGAATAAAATTTTGCAAAGAGAGTCCGTTATAAAAAGAGTCTGTTTTCTAGCTAAACTGGCGGCTTATTGCTTTGGGTGAGGAATTTTTTTTTTTCGAAATAAACAAAAAAAATTATCACAAGAACTTTGGTAATTGTGTGCCTTAATTGAAACTTTTTGCTTGGATGCGAAATAATTTTATTTTAAGAATGTTTAAATATAATAAAGTGATTGAAACATCTGGAAATATAATAAATTTAAATAAGTCAGTAGAAACCTTTAACTATTGGTAAAACTAAACCTCAATCCGCTTGAATAAAAATAATGGAGAAAATTTAAAACATTAACTTTAGACTTGATCAAAAGCTAAAAATTTTAAATCTTAATTTGCGAAATGACGCTTCATGATTATAATAAGATTTTATATAATAAAAAACCAGGCTCACTTTTCATATTTTTTATTTTTTTTTTTATTTTTACAATGAATATATTGTTTAGAAAAGTCAATAAATTGCAAGAATGGATTGAATTTAATAAACATTATACACTAATATTATTTTCATTTTGCCTTATTCTAAATTAAAAATTCATTCTCACAACAAAGGAAACCGGGAAAACTAGCAATGATTTCTAGTAAACAAAATCTTGGGCAGTCAAAACAACTTATGTTTTTTGGCAGAACCTCCAATTGGCACGTGGTGGAGCGGCCAGCGAGGTGTTGGCTCACAGTTGGAGTAAAAATGTAAACGCCGCGGGCACTAATTCTGGCCTTTTTGATAAATAATGTGCCATTAATTTCCCTCTCCGGGACGCCGAGACGTTTTACACGGAGCATTTTAGACAAAGTAGACACTTCTTGTCTCAATTTATGCCGGCAAAGTGGAAAATTAAACAGGGCATTACAGTGTTTTCTGGTGGCGCCTCATTTGATCCCCCTACGCTTAGCACAAGCGCCACGCCAAATTACATGATGCGTCTTTCTCACTTGAGTAGGAAAATTCGGTCGCCAGCCAACACGATCATTAACATTTTTACTTCTCTCGTGTGGTTTCCTAGCGATAAATTTCGGCTTGTCTCCAGTTTGTGGACGATTGTTTGAGGCCAAGGGTCTGGACGAGTGAGATAAAGTTATTTTTTACTTTATCAAAGCCGGCCGAAATAATAAAATTATCTCACACAAACTGTGATAAATTATTTTTCTTTATTTTTAATTTCAAAGAACTTGAAAAAATTGGAAATTCTAATCAAGCTCGTCTGATTCACCATGCAAGAAAGGTTCTTGCAGCTTTGTTTGGTGGCAGTGGCGGTTGTAAAAATGCACCCGGTGCAACCGCGTTTCCAAAATTAACTCTGGCGTGAACTAAATTTGAAAGAATGGCGGGCGGCTCGCGGTGATTAAAATGCAATCCCGCAGCGCAGAGCAACAATTAATTCTGGTGAATAAATTAGGCGGCCGCCCATTTTCTCTCGTTTTAGAGTTTTTGTTCCTCCAGAAAGCAGAAATAAATCAATCGAATTTAATTAGGAACGGCTTCGAATTGATTGATAGGTCGGCGGTTTTCCTCTCTCTTTTGCCGAGTGTGAGTTTTGAGCATAAAAGACTCATGGGCAGGCGGTGCCAAAGTCAGCGCTATTTACATATGAAATTATCCTTCTGCTTGTTGGCAGGCAGCTTTCTTAAATGCGCTCGGCATCTTTCTACTCTGCCGCCGAGCAAAACAAAGCGTTTGTAAATTACACACTTGCTGGGCGGCCGCTTTGTTATTGCTAAAATGTGTTGAGGTGTGATCATTATTAAACTCCTTGCAAAATGAAATGATTCCGCACTTGATTTAAGGTTTCGGGACGACTGTAAATTCCATTGTTTTTTCTGCACAGCTGCTTTGGTGAAGAGGAGGGTTGTTTATTTCAATTTATATCCGG